CATCAAGTAAAACAATACAAATAACTATCTGACCAATCACGTCGGTTCTGCCCCCCCACTAATAAAAGTTCTGCCCCCCCAACAAAGTCCTGCTCTCCCCCAACAAAAATCCTGGCTACACCCATGGCAGGAACTAACAATAACCTTGCAAGAGTATGGCGGAACAGGCTTACAATCATGCATGGATATGCACTGTATAAAAATTCAGAGTTACAGCAACATTCAGGGTTACAGCAAATTACAAGTTATTCCAGTTGGAGCTGCTAGCAAAGAATTGGGCTGCTGCCAAAGCAGTAAAAGACATAGCAATATGAAGGGATATAGCAGCACTTGATTACTCTTCAGTTTTCTCCAGGCTTTAAATCAAACTTGGAAAAGGAGCATTTTCTGTCTCAGCTTGGAGACCCTGTATCACACCCCCCCTGTGGTGTCCTGTACATATACGTAATATTATGTATTGTATACATAATAATCTCACTTATGTGTTTGCAAACATGAGTGAATCTTTTTTTAAATATAAAAAGCTGGCATCTCAGTTATAGGTAGGCTTAAAAATATTTTCATCATCCAGCAGATATAACTGAAGCCAAATATTTAAGAGTAGCCTTTGGCTAACCAGGCTTTCCATGCAAACTGGTTACTAAATAAGTGAGATGCATGGGAGGCAGAAACAATCATGGGTTGGGGGAAGCAATCGTGTTCTGCAGAGCCAGAAGAATTTTCCTCCGCCACTTTGCTCTTGTTTCTATTTTGGTGCTAAAGTGCCAAAAAAAGAAAAATGAAGAACTTCCAGGCAAGCATGACCTACTTCCTCCTGTGTGTTCCAGTTCAGCTGGATTTGCTGCAGTGCCTTAAATAAAGACCTGAGAACACCTGACACTGTAGAATTTTGGAAGCTATGGATATGAACCTGGTAAGTGCTTAGATTGGAAATCACAGGCAGCCCTGAGTAAGCGGTTTTGAAATTTCCTAGTAGGAACAGAAGTATAGGTTGTGATTCAAAGAGATACCCAGGCTCTGCATGAGAGCTTTTTGGCCACTGCTCTTTAGCACAGCCCCGTGTTTCCCACCTCGGCATAAGCTTTCCCTGCATTTCGGGGAATCCTTTGGAGTACCATTCTGTCAGGTATGAGGACTTACCTCTAGAAGGGCGGGAGGGAATAAGCAGATCCTTTCACTAGGATATAGAAGAACTTTGTGGATGTTGACAGGATGCCATAGGAGCCAACTCCTAGGGGCCGTGGTGGCTTTGGCCCCCACAATAAAATATTTGAGTGGGCTGGGGGCCCCCAAAGTTGATGGACATTGCCATTCAACTGGTGTGCGTGTACAGTGTCATTTGATCGATTATACAGGGCGGGGCTTACCTGGTCCCCCTCAATATTTTATTCAAGTTGGCGCCCCTGCAGGATGTGGGTGATGTCAGAAGCATGATGAAGTTACTGTAAGGTTGTCTCATGTAAATAAAAGCCTTGCTTCTTGCCACTGGCACACAAGAGGTTAGCTATATGCATGAAGGTGGCTGATCTGTACTACCCATATGTCTCCGCAGAATCCATCTTGCAGTTTTCTTGCGAGAATAAAGACAGCAACGTTGTAAAGGATGAGGAGAAATAAAATGAAAACGGAATAAAATGAAAGTGGCTTTGAAAAACTAGTTAGCTCAGTGATGAAGCTGAACTCTTTACTATATGCTCATGAAACCAAACTGCACTTACCTGTACTTAAGCAAACTATTGCTTCCAGTCCAGAGGTTAGTAGCGCCCACATTATGATGAGATCAGTAGGCCACCCTGTCATGAATATGAATCACTCGTTTCAACTGGATTTATTCTCGCTGAGGTAATAAAGCCATGTCTGGGCAGTGCTGCAGTACTTCAGACTGCAGTTGAGCTGATATAATAGAATCCTCCACAGTAAAAAATAACAAGATAAATAAATCCCTACATATAGAAAACTAGCAGGTCAGGGAGAAGGCTAGGTTGGAAACCTGCTCCCAGACATTTAGTATTTTATAGAGAGGGGAAAATTTGTATGGAGCATTTCAGTCACCTAAGTCCCCAACTGCAGCCTGAAATGCTACAGACACAGGTTTGCTAAGTAGGAGTTTTGTATCAATTAATCTACAGTGGTACCTCGGGTTAAGAACTTAATTCGTTCTGGAGGTCCGTTCTTAACCTGAAACTGTTCTTAACCTGAAGCACCACTTTAGCTAATGGGGCCTGCCGCTGCCGCACGATTTCTGTTCTCATTCTGAAGCAAAGTTCTTAACCCAAGGTACTATTTCTGGGTTAGCGGAGTCTGTAACCTGAAGCGTCTGTAACCCGAGGTACCACTGTATTAGCAAACAGTCATTTAAGGCTATGTTAAGGTTTGGAGAAATGATGAAGGCGAGGTAAGGGACTGCTAAATCCCCCCCCTTACTGTTATGCTCAAAATCTCTCCACATACAAGCAATACTGGCAGTGGTATCTTTTCTAGAGCATAGTCAAACAAACATGTTGGTGAACTCTTTTCCAACCATTCTTTGGGTTGGGGACAAAAGGAAATCCTGCAGCCCCACCCCCAAAAGGGCTTGCTCATATTGTCATTTAATGTGGCTAGTAACCATCCTGTACCTCCATTAGTTCTCTGTTGTTCACCTGACGTTCTCCTCCATTCACTGCCTCCCACACCTTTCCTTCCCTCAATCCAGATTTTTTCCTACCAGCTGAGCAGCTCAGAGTGCCCAGGTAGAGATCAGGGGCTGAGAAATAATTGAAAGGAAGGGGTGTCAGAATAGGTAAGTTCTCAAAAAGCGAATGACCCAGACTCAAACAAAAGTGAAAGGTTTCTAGAAGTGCATGCTGTCAATCTGCCCTTGTGATTTGAGCCTCCAGCCCCAAGTACTTAAGGATATCCCCCAGAAGCTCTGACAGGCAGCCAGAGGGGAGTGGAATGGGACTCCTCTCCTGTCTCTCACCTCCTGCCCCCCCTCCAATTCTTGGCAATGTGTTTGATGGCCAGCTCTGTGGTGGGAGGGGAGAAAGGAGGGATGTTTGCAGACAAACGAAACATGCATGCAGGTTCATTCATGCCCGCTCACTTGATCAAGGAAACAGGGGTGGTGGGTGCAGAGGTGGGCTAGAGGCAGGCAAATAGGAAAAGAATGAAATAAACACAAGTATGGACAGAGAGGATAGTTTGATCTAAGTATTAAGAAAGTACAAAGTGATCAGGTTTGGACTACGATAGACCAATTCAGATAAGAAAAATGTGGATTTTTAGACATTTTATATGATGGTGTGGATGAGTCCTAAACTGGAGGAAAGACATTTCCCCAAAATTTCTAAGGCACTGTGACTTACCTTAGTTAACCTTACAAGGTGGCTAAGAGTTTTCCATTATTTTCCTTGGGTTGTTTTTTTTTTAACTTTAAAAAAGGCCTGCCCAGCTCACAGCAGTGCACACTGCAGTTTCCTGTTGCCGCACTAACTGAAATGCCATGGGAATGACGCCACATTGCATCGCTGCCAAGCCATTCTGGAAAGTGCGGCCAGTGGGAAGTGGCAGTAGGCATTCAGCAGCCTCCACCCAGCTGTACTTCCTGGAATGCCAAGGGAGTAATTCAATTTGAACACAAGAAAGTGTTGGCTGAATCAGGCCAAATACCAATCTAGTCCAGCATCCTGTTCTTACAGTAGCCAACCAGATGTTCACAAGCAGGGCCTGAGTGGAATTCATCATTTTCACAGTTGCTACATATTGGATCAACATCTTTGAGCTATCCGCTATACCCCCAAGTTCTTGTTCTTGGTGAATTACCATCAGTTCAGGCCTCATTAGTTTACATGTGAAATCAGGAAGATGATAGATGAGAGATAGATGGTAGATAGATAGATATTTGCGCCAATCTGCATCACTTTGCACCTGCTTATGCTGAATTGCATTCATCATTGTACTGCCCATTCACCTAATTTGGTAAGATCCTTTTGATCCCTTTTTGCTTAACCACCCTAAACAATTTGGTATCATTGACCTCACTGCTCACAACTAACTAGCTCATTGATGAACAAGTTAAAAAGCACAGGTCTCAATACATCTCCTTTGGGGACTCTACTTTCTATACCCCTCCACTGTGAGAACTGTCCATTTATTCCTGCTTTCTGTTACCTAACCAGTTACTGGTCCATAATAGGACCTCTCCTCTTATTCTGTGACAGCTAAACATACTCAGGAGTTTTTGGTAAGAGTATCAAAAGCTTTTTGAACAAGTATGCAATGTCAGCTGGGTCACCTTTATCTATATATTTGCTGACACTCTCAAAGAACTGTACAAAGTTAGAGAGATAGTGAGAGACTCTTGCAAAAGTCATACTGGTTCTGCTTCAGAAAGACATATTATTCTATGTGCTTGGCATTTTTATCTTTAATAGCAGTTTTACCAGAACAGATATTTAGTGAACTGGCATGTAATATTTAAGATTCCCCCAGGATTCCTTTTTTAAAATTGGTGTTACCTTGGCCATTTTTCAGTCCTCGGGTACGGAGCCTGATCTTAAGTTACATATTTTTGTTAGAATATCACTAATTTCACATTTGAGTTATTTTAGAGCTCTCAGGTGGATGCCATCTGGTGATTTGTCAGCTTTTAATTTGTCAATAAGACCTAGAAATGTGTCTCTTGTCACTGCAACTTGCCTCAGTTCCGAAGACTCCATTCTCTGTAACATTTGTTCAGGAACAGATATTTGCCATGCATCTTCGGTGCAAAGACAGATGCAAATGTACTAGAAAGTGATGGATATCAACAATTGCTTGATGTGATGTTGTACAGTCTCCACACAAACAAGTCAGAATGAATGCTTAATAAGCAGCCGATATCATATAACCTTCACACAAACGCTGTGTAAACAAATCGGGATGAATGTGCAGTAAACAGGCGTTTGTAAGCAGCATGTGTTAGGACTTCCTTTGCAGTTGTCCATTTAGATAGATACTTGCTAACACTATGGTCACTCTTTCCAATCAGTTCAACAACCGGATAGGTCAGAACATGAGAGTCTTAATCTCAGGGTTGTGGGTTTGAGCCCCACGTTGGGCAAAAAGATTCCTGCATTGCAGGGGGTTGGACTAGATGACCCTCATGATCCCTTCCAGCTCCACAATTATATTATTCTAGTTACATTTTCCACAAGGTCCTGGGCGTTACTTAATACTAAGTCTATGGCTGCCACCCCTCTAGTCAGTTCCATGACCAGCTGTACTATGGCATTGTCACACTGCATCACTTCAAAGGCTTTGCATAAAGTGCTGAGAGCCCTGTGACACTATTAAAAAGCAAGAAATGTGGAAAACATTTGGACTCCTCATGAGGTTAACAAAGATAAGGGCAGCTCCTCCCTCAAAAACAAAATGGCGGACACTACTTCTGTCCCAAGAAATGAGTAGGAAGCTGGTCCATATTTTCAGCAGGGATGTTTTTGGGAAACTGGGAGGTAAGGATTTTGGCCTAGACTTAATCCTTTCACCAACAGATGGGAAAGCAATCCAACAGGAAAAAGGTTAGATAGACTCTTCTCTTTATCGCTCCTCTGATTATATTTGCATCCCACTGCAGCTTTTTCAAAAAGAAAAAAAACTAACTCCAGAAACTTGCTAAATACAATTAATGAATGTTAGAATGATGTTGGAATGAAATTAAGTGGTTTTAGCAGCAATGTTACAAAGGAGTATGTAAAAATGGATTGTTAACAGGAGAGAATCTAAAGTTATAATATATTAAGATAAAGGATTAAGATAAAAACAAAGAGGGAAAGGATTTGCTGAATTAACTAACTGAACCGGAATACAAAAAAGGGAGGTGTGAGGAGGTCAGGGAAACAAGTAAATGAAAGACAAGACATGGAAAGATTGATTTGTTTTTAATTGTTTTTATTTTTCTGTATTTTGTATTTTCTTTTTTCTTTTTTCTCTTTTTCTTATTCTTGTAACCTTTTTTTGAAACTTTAATAAATATCATTTAAAAAAAACAAACAGAAACTTGCTAAATACAGCTTACGTGTTATACATATCTCTCAAGAGCAAATTAAGACATTTAGTTTGGCTTCAAGTACTAGGCCTACCATTCGTTTCAAGATTTTGCTTGTTAGCATATTCATGCAAAATACCGTATGCACTTATGGTTTACTGTGCATTGTACCAGTCATCTATTGCTTGATTAGGCAGATGTTTCCTGTGTTCTCACGCTTATGAGAGAGAAAAAGCGGAAGTGCAAGCAGACAGAACTTTGAAAGCCAGGTGTTTTTGCTTACTCAAGAGCCACATTAAATGAGAGAAAACGAGATGTTAGTTGCTTAGGGTAAGAAGGAAGCTATGTGATTATGCTCAGAGACGGTTCAGTTTCACCGAGCTAACTATTAGGACAAATGCCAACATATATTGAAAAATACATGCACCAGTATTTGTACAGTAATACCCATGAGTATTGTGCTTAAGACAGCTATGCACAAGAGAAAAGCACTGGCCGACTTGAGGCAAACCTGAGGGACGCACAACAATTCTGAAATATGTAAATATTTCTATATATCTCCAAGCCAGCCCATAATAACTCAATAGTATGGAATGCTGAGAAGTGGAGAGCTGAAATACCTGGCAGCCAGGTAGGAGGGGGGATTAGAATGGAGTGGCTGGAAAAGGACATACAGACAAGCATATGTACGGTAGAATGAACCATTGTCTGGACAGGTCATTTATTGGTTCACACTGAGGAGGATTTTTTAATTATTCCCAGGAATGGAAGTGAGAAAATTAAGAAATCAAAGATTTCCATATTGCTGGGTTTCAGTGTGTCCACTCCACCCCATCCCTCAAAAGAGCACCCCAAAATAGAAACAGATATGAATTCCTGCTCTTTCTAACTCAGTTCTTATTTAGCATGAACCTGTTTGGCCCTGACACCAAAATCTTTTCAGCACCAAGTTAAGATTTTTCTTTTCTTCCAACTATCAAAATACAGTTTAATCGAGCTGTGTGAAGGGTTTATGCTAGTGCCACTCTTGGTTGCTGATACATTTCTCACCCCGTCTGTGGAACCTGGAGTTTTATATATTGGTTTTCCATTATGGTGTACATTTTAAACAATTTTGCACGTTTTTAACTTGATTGTAGGTCACCTAGACCCTAGAACAAGGGTGGAGAACTGCTTCCAGCTGGGGGACATAATCCTACTCTCCAGAAACCATGCAGCCCATTTTGAAAAGTGCACCTGTCAATCATCTGATGTCACAATGACAACAGGTGAAACATTTTCTCAGGTGGTGACATGTTTTCCTTTGCCCATGCGGTTTGAAATCCAACGCCACAGGTAAAGACTCTGAGGGTTGCAGATGCTGATGTCTGCCAGCGCCTGCGAACCCCAATTATTTTGCCAAACTGGTTTGAAAGCCCAGGGACTGGAAGCTACCACTAACTTCAAACTCTGCTTTAGGCTGGGAGTCACATCTTTACATGCCCTCCCCTCATGTCACACATGGTATAGATGGACATGGACTAAGGATAACGTTCTTGGGGCCCAAATTAGGGCTCCTTGTGTGCCATAGATGTCCCACCATCGGTGTAGAGACCGCTGTGTCTCAGAAGACCAATGCAATAAATACAGTGGTACCTTGGGTTACATACGCTTCAGGTTACAGACTCTGCTAACCCAGAAATATGACCTTGGATTAAGAACTTTGCTTCTGTATGAGAACAGAAATCATGCAGCCGTGGCGCAGAGGCAGCAGGAGGCCCCATTAGCTAAAGTGGTGCTTCAGGTTAAGAACAGTTTCAGGTTAAGAAGAGACCTCCATAATGAATTAAGTTCTTAACCCGAGGTACCACTGTACATAATTTGTGCCACACTTTTCTTCCCCGGAACTCAGATAGGTGTAGATGCCCTCCACCTGCATTTTAGCCTTGCAATTTGGGCATTTTCTTCCTGCTTTTTCTAAAGGTTTTCTGGATTGTATTCCTGTATGCCCAACATGAGTTTGTTCAAACTGCGGGAGGCAGTGGAAGACAGGAGTGCCTGGCATGTTCTGGTCCATGGGGTCACGAAGAGTCGGACACGACTAAACAACAACGCCCATTCACTTGGGCATCTAACATAATTAGACGTGTGGACCCTATGGAAAGTGTGGTGTAGTGGTTAAGAGTGTAGGACCAAGACCTGGGAGACCAGGGTTTAAATCCCAACCTAGCCATGAAGCTCAGACTAACCTACCCCGCAGGGTTGTTGTAGGGATTAAATGAGGAGGCGGGAGAGACACGAACGCCATCCCGAATTCCATGCAGAATGAACGCGATAAAAAGCAAACGATCAAGCCGCGCACACCTGGCACATTCCAGTTACAGTATAAGGGCTTGAACCGGTTGCTTCAGTCACTTCGAGAAGCCTCTCTTGGACTATACGCTATATTAAACTTTTCTTTCTTTCTTGTCTCCCCCTGCCCCTCCCAACCCCGTGTGTGGCGTGATGAAAACTGCGTAATTCAAAGTGTTGCCTACACAGTACTTAACGGGCGGGTCTACTCTTAAGGGGGGGCAAACACAACCCGCGCCTTCCTGCGCATGCGCCAAACCAGCCGATCCCTTCCAAGCCGTTAAGATCACGCACACTTCCTGCTTGTCCTCCCTCCGGGAAACGCATGCGCAGAGAGACGCTTCTCCCCCCCTGTTTCCCAGAGTGCTCTGCGCGGTGAAGAAGCGTCGGTCGCGGGCTGGAGGCATTTTGTGTCCTGGATATCAGCAGCGAAAGAGAGAGAAAGAGAGCGAGAGCAAGAGAGAGACAGACAAGATGGCGGCGGCGGCGGCCGAATGAAGCGCCAGGCGGCGGCGGCGGCAGCCGGATCCGCTCGAGCTTCTCCCTCCCTTCCCAGCCCTCAGGGCTGCCTTTCCTGAGAGGGCAAAGAGAGCGCTGACAGCCGCGGAAGCGTGTGGAGGGGGACGTCCGCTTCCTACAAAGGGGCCTGGTTGCGAACGGAGCCTCGGGGACCGGAGTCCTCCCTCCCCCCCGTCCTCCATACACTTCCCCCCTCTTCTTCTTCCTCCCACCGACAGACCCCTCGAAATCCTGGCTTTTTCGTAGCGAGAGCTCCTTGGGGAGAAACTCGGCAGTCGGGCGCTCGACGTGTGAACAAGCCCCCCCTCCTCCCCCCTCCCCGCTCGCGCTCTCCCTCGGTCGCCATGGCGAGCAGCAGCGGCTCCAAGGCCGAGTTCATCGTCGGGGGCAAATACAAGCTGGTGCGGAAGATCGGCTCGGGCTCCTTCGGGGACATATACTTGGCCATCAATATCACCAACGGGGAGGTAAGGGCCGGCGGGCGCCCGGGCCTCTTCTCCCCCCCTCTCTCCCCCCGTCGCGTCAGAGAAGAGGGGTCGCTTCTCGCTCCTTCCCCCCCCCCCCCCGCCTGGCAGAGCATCAACTCGGGGGAAAAGCGCCAGGAAAAGCTCCCCGGACTCTCTTGCCACAAAGTCTGGCCGCCCCCACTTCGCCCTTATGTCGAGGGCCGTTTCTGACTTCTCCTTCGCCTTCTCTCCGCTTTAGTGGTTTATAGATAGTAGCGTCGGACTTTTTCCTCATTTTTATTTTGGAACTTATTTTTTAGGTTCTTTTTTTTGGGGGGGGGGAAGGACACGATCGTGACAAATCATAATAAGCACCTTCACGGTGTAGGGTTTTGATTTGTATTTTTGTAATAGGGTTTCTATCCTGTCTTGGCAGTGATGAGTCTGCAATGCTTGGTTCAGTTTTGAAAATGTTCTCCCCTCCCCCCGGACTCTTTTAATCGTTAGCTTAGTAGTGTTTGTAGTACATAAAACGCCAGGCTGCCTGGATAGATGGATAAAGAGGCCATTTGTATTGTTTGGGGGGATCCTTATGTGATCTGTAGAGAAACTGCACCTAAGCTCATTTCGTGCATTCACAATTACCTTGTTCAAGAGGCAATGAAGGCACCTTCATCTAAGTGTTTAAACACTTTCCGGGAATAATGGATTAGTGTTAGTATCCCTAGGATGGATATTTACAGAAGTCAGCACTGTGTGGAATATGTTTGCGGAGCTTGTCACTTACCAGGATATTCCTGTGGAAGGCTTTCCCATGCCCTCAAATATGCTGTAGTGGAGAAATGCAGTCCTCTTGCTCCAATAGGATCTCTGACCCATATTCCCTCTTCACTGCAGGAAGTAGCTGTGAAGTTGGAGTCTCAGAAGGCCAGACATCCCCAGCTGCTATATGAAAGCAAACTATACAAGATTCTGCAAGGGGGAGTTGGCATCCCTCACATACGGTAAGAATTATGGCTCTTGGGAGATAAAGTAGTCATTATCTCTTTTCCCCAAAGGATGAGTGTATTTTGTTTTTCACTGCTGGAGGAAGTGATACATATATGTTGCCTGAAATAAGCCTTATTATGAGTGGTAGCAAGTTGCATCTAGAAAAAGATCTTGAAGGATCCTTCTCTACCAGCTGCTTGTTTCCCGTCCCCATCTCTGCACCAACAAAATTATCTAGTACTTGAGAATATGGCAGTAGTTGAAACAGGAGTACTGGTTACTCTGAGGATTGGAATAGAACAGTGGAAATGGCTGCTTCCTTTTGTGTTTTTGTTCCAACATGTCTTCCTCCTCTGCTCAGAAAATGGCGGATGTCAGTACTTAAACATTCCCAAGAAGTGGAATATATTTCTTTAATTTCCCACCTTGCTCCCATTCCCTTCTACCATCAGTATTGTATCTTGAAAGATTGGGGCTTCTGAGGACTGGGGAGGGGGAAGGAAGAGTGCAGAAAGTGGAAGCCCCTTACAGTTGCTGACGCATATGCATCACTGAGCTCTTAATTATGCACTGCTGCTTAAATCACCTTCCTTCCTTTTATTCTCTTCTGAAAATGGAATTTCATTGTGAGATCTACTTGAGAGGTTCCCAGTCTTGTAATGGATGAAACTAGTAGCTAGTGGGAGAGTAAATAAAGTAGCAGCTCAGTCTGCTTTTCTATTGTGAAACTCATAAAAAGCACTTAAAAAAAACTTTATACAAAGGAAAAGATTCTGAGTCAAGACTCTTAGCAGCTCTTTGCTAGTGCTCTAAAACATCAGGCAGTACTGTTAAATACCTTGTATATCTGAAAATAATAATTTGATTGGGTTTTGCTTACGAATAGTGTTAGTAATAAGTTTGGCAAGTGGAGAGACTACAGTAAATGGATTCAATTTAGGATGGTTATTCTACTTACCTTTTTTGAAATGGTTGGACATTCTGAACTCTTACATTTCACTTCTGTATGTTGTACTGTGACTTCTGGCATTTGTACCTCATAATCAAAGTGAACCATGTGTAAGCAGAAAATAAACTTAGTAAAGGCACTTCTTGTAGATATTCCAATTCAATTCTCTAAGTAGTTAAAAACTGGGTTGCAATTGTAAACCAGTAAGAAATGTTGATGTCTTAGTCATAAGAGGCTTCTGCTGCTGGAAGTTTGTGAACTACATAAACTACAATGCCATGTTGTAACCTACATAAGTCCTTTACTGAATGGATACAGAATTATTCAATGACATACTTGTATGAAGCAACTACCCCCCGGATTTAATTACATTGTGCAACTGTAGGAATAAAGCTGCATTTATTACGTAATAGATTTGGCAGTTCTGCGTTCTGTTGATGGAGTTTTCACTTTTGATAAGATTCTATTCAGGCCTGTGCTTAGATGCAGAGCATAATATTATTTAAATTTTTTCTGCTAAGGTTGAAAATTGGATGATCTTGCTTTGAAAGCCAGTATTTTGTTATGAAGAACTGTAGATGTCATTTAAAAATCACTGGATTGTATGAAGTTACATGTTGTTTAGTGAGGCTATTTTTTAGTTTAAATTGATTAAATTTTACTTTTTGCTTTATTAAACCTGGCAGTTGTTTTTAAATAATAAAACATTAATGGAAGTATATTTTTAGGAAATGCAGAATATACTTTAGCCACCCAGTTCTGTAAATGTATATAATGAAGTAATTGGTGACTTCTTTCAGTAAAGGAAATTGATTTGGTTGAGTGATGATAAATTATTATGAGGATATGGAATGTTTGCCGAGGCAACTGTTCTTTCATCTCAGAAGTAATCATTGAAGTTTTTGTTGTCTTCTTTGTTTGCATGTTGCTAGCTACACATGCTGGTTGTGTTTTCACATTGTAAGCTATAAACTATGGCTACCTGTGCACAAGCCAATTGTGCCTAATTTTCTCCATTGTGCTTGTGTTGGGTGGAAGCAAACTATGATCCCCTGCTTAGTGTTACATCTGAATCATGGATTGTGATTCATTGGCACCAAGCAAACTGCAATGATAGGTCAAGGAATGTTCTTTGTTTACTGTGATTTGTTGGATTACCATCAGTGTTAAAAACTCAGATATGGCTAGGCACCAAATGGCTCCTTAAACCAGGGTAACAGTTTCCAAAACAGAATGCCTAGTTGCAGTTTTGGGGCTAGATGCCTCAAAAGTCGTATTTTTCAATACAGCTATTTGGTTCCTGAAATTCATTATGATTGTGCAGATAAAATACAATATAATTCTGCTGGATGTGTTGCTAGTGTATGAAAATAGTCAAGCTCCAAGGATCCCGAGGCTTGCATCCCCAGTTGGTCAGGTGTCATCCTGGTGCCTGGGCATCTTCATTTGGCTGCAAATGGCCGATAACCAGGTGCAAAGTGCTCCTGGCAAATTTCAAACATTGATTACCATGGCATGCACTTGTGATCATTGCATAATTCAGGGCTTGCTAATCTGTGACTCTCCAGATGTTGCTGGCCATCATCCCTGACCATTGGCTATGGTGGGTAATGAAAGTTGGAGCCTGACAACAAATGAAAAGGAACAGGTTATCCACCCCATGTGTAGCTAATGGCTGAAGATGGTTCAAACTATGGTTAAAGGAAGACTGTAATTTTGCATACTGTCTGAATTGACAAAAGCATGATTTCAGTCAGTTGGCAGACCAGCAGGCCAAATGGCCAGTGCTAATGGATGTGATGTGATGTCTAAATTGACAGTTACTGTTGCTCTGCCTCCAGAGGCTGCTGCACTGTGAATATGAAGTTAAAACTATAGCTGCATGATTCGGAGAGATTAGAAAATGAAATCAAACTGGATGGTGAAGGTTAATGGAGTTGGGTATGTTTAGTCTGGAAAAGAGACAATTAAGAGGCAATATGGTATCTCTTCAAATACTTCCAAGGGCTGTCACATGATTGGATTGAGCCTGTTTCCTGTTGCTTCAGATAGTAGGACCCGAACCAAAGGGTTTGAATTACAGTGGTGCCTTGCAAGACGAAAGTAATTCGTTCTGCGAGTTTTTTCGTCTTGCGAATTTTTCGTCTTGCGAAGCATGGTTTTAACGGTATTAACAGTTTTAAGAAAAAGGAAACAAACTCGCAAGACGTTTTCGTCTTGCGAAGCAAGCCCATAGGGAAATTCGTCTTGCGAAGCAACTCAAAAAACGAAAAACTCTTTCGTCTTGCGAGTTTTTCGTCTTGCGAGGCATTCGTCTTGCGAGGTACCACTGTACATGAAAGGTGATTTCAGCTAAACATTAGGAATAACTGCATGTGCAACTAGATGTTCAGATCATGGTTTGAGTTCTGCACCTGTGGTTAGCACAGTTTGACAGTGGAACAGGCTGCTCTGGAAAGTGGTGGGCTCCTTCCACAGGCTGTACTACATGGAATGCTATAGTATTCATCAGCTAGGGTTGAACCAGATGGCCTTTAAAAACATTGAAGTACATCACCTGGATGAATGAATTTGTGATTGATTGATTGATTTATTTATTTATTTATACCTCCATTGATTTGGTTGGCATTATGGCTCTGCTTTGTAATTTCTGGTTTATTTTATTGATTATCTATCCAAAACACTTTTACTCCGTTCTTTAGCCAAAAGTTCCCAGAGTGACTTAGAAGATCAGTAATAAGACAGCTCCGTTCCTCACATGTAAAATACATGAAGCACAAGAAAGCATATGCACTCTTAGTTTATTCTTGCAGCAAATAGTTCGTGTTGGAGAAACTGAACAGGTTTTCCAGTATGTTTTTTGTTATATTATTTTTGCAAATGATTAATTGGTTTGACGAATGATAGCTTGGATTAAAATTTAGTTGCACTTTGTTTCCAGTGAAATAACTGCGACTTAAGTCTTAACTAACATTTCATAGTTTTCAGTAGGACCCTAATGCAACTAGCTTAGACTGGTTTCAACCCAATATAACGCAACACAATTTCACAAATACCAATACTTGATATCTGAAAGATGGCCTCATGTCCAAAATTAACAGTCTTTATCAGTGACCGTATTGTATGTGCCACCACAAAGGGAGGCTAGGTTGATGGATACCCAGGACAGGGTCTTTTCTGTACCAGCACCCAATTGTGAAACTTGCCTTCCTTGGAGGTCAGGTTGGCACCATCTTTTCCTAACTTTAGGCAAACCCTAAATACTGTTTTGCTTTGTCTGGCTTTTGATGGATTTTAAATTCAACTCTGTAGTTTTGTGGTGTTAAGTTTTATTTAGTTTTAACTGATGTCTTTATACTGTTTTTACAAATTATAGCTACTTGTGGGCAGAAAAGGTATTCATAAATACTTAAAAATTTTTAAAAAGTCTAAATCATAGTCTAGTAAAATCTTGTCAAACAAGAGACTTGTCTTTGCATCCCCCGTCATGTGTTTATGTAACATAAGAGAGTGCCTGTAGAGAACTAATATCAGAATGAAAATCATGTTAGTTTGATTATAGACACTAAACTTTGCTATTAGAAACTTTTGTCTCTCCTAAAAGCAAACTGAGCTGGTTAATATTGATAGGACTTCAGCAAAAGCAGGGCCCATGATAACCAAGAGGGGAGGTATCAGTATGATCAGAGAAGCCACAGGGTTTGCAGATATACAAACAATCCGTAAGGAATACGAGAGGGACAGTCCACACACATATCAACAGGGCAGTGACGGCTAAGCATGCTCACTGGCCACAGAGCATCTTTGGGAGGCAATTGGAGGGGAATATAGTGGAAGAGGGTATATCTGGCTGTAACCCTGAACAGGAACACTCCATACAGCAACACTCCTTTTGCAGGTCCCCCTTGTTCTGTCCTTAGGAGCATCAGGGCAGTTTCTTTCTACATACAGACTTGTTACAGGCCCTGGTCAAAAAGGCTGCACAACATGCTTTGTATGTATGAAAGGATTTCTGAAATGACCCCACCCCATCCATTTCTGAAACCTGCTCCTAGCACTGTTTGATAAGTTGCTTTGGAAACTCTAGGAACTGACTTCCGCATAACATAAGGATTTGCATTTTAGGGATTTTGTGTGTGTGTTTAAGCTTACCTTTGAATATTGGGCCCTGTTCTATGGTTATCCTATTTGCTACCACTTCATCATAAGAAACAAAACTACAGTGGTACCTCTGGTTGCGGACACGATCTGTTCCGGGGTGCCGTTTTCACGCCGAAAAGTCTGTAACCAGAGTGGGGCTTCTGTGCATGTGTGAAGCGCTATAGAGCGCTTCTGCACGTGCGTGTGCGCACACGCGCACGGTAAAACCCAGAAGTAAACACTTCCGGGTTTGCCATGTTCTTAACCCAAAAAAAGCAACATGATGCGTTTGCAAGAAGAGGTATAACTGTACAGAACTCTTTCAAACTGACCAGAGGGAAGGCATTAAACGGACAATTTTGAAAAGGTGGAGTCATGGCATCTAACTTTTGATTGGTTTGGGTTAAGATGCATTTTCATTACAAAAACTAACTGTGTACCTTTGCTTATGGCTGTTGAATGAAGGCTATCAAATATTGTCTTTTCTCTTAAAATAGGTTTGTAAAAAAAACAAAAACATGGTGGGATTGGTTCTAAATCTCATATGTCCATATAATTTTGGAAAATTGTCATAAGGACAACTTGAATGAAATGTTTCAAATTCATTGACCGTGAACTAGTTCTTAAACATTTCTTAAGTGCCAGTGGCAGTTTTTTAGGTGGCTTGAGGACTAGGTGCCATTGTTAGAAACTCAGATATATAAGCTAGGTGCCAAGTGGCACCTTAAATCTAGGTTACTGTCATCACAACTGAATGTCTTTTCATCAGGGGGTTGGACTAGATGACCCTGGTGGCGCTGTGGTGTAAACCACTGAGTCTCTTGGGCTTGCCGATCATAAGGTCGGTGGTTCAAATCCTTGTGATGGGGTGAGCTCCTGCTTCTTTGTTTCAGCTCCTGCCAACCTAGCAGTTCGAAAGCATACCAGTGCGAGTAGATAAATAGGTACTGCTGCAGTGGGAAGATAAGCAGCGTTTCCATGCGCTCTGGCACTCGTCACAGTGTTCCGTGCTCCAAAAGTAGTTTAGTCATGCTGGCCACATGACCTGGAAAAGTTGTCCATGGACAAATGCCAGCTCCCTCGGCCTGAAAGCGGAGATGAGCGCCGGACCTCATAGTCGAATTCAACTGGACTTAACTGTCCAGGCGTCCTTTACTTTGCCTTTACTAGATGAACTTTGGGGTCCCTTCCAGGACAATTCTATGATCTCAACTACATTGCTTGACTGTAGCTTGTTCTTACAACAATTCACTTGTCCCATTATGCAAGAAGGAGAAACGCGCAAACTGAAAATGGAAGTGGTATTAACTATGGACTAAGGCAGAGGTTTTTAAACTCTGGTCACCAACCTGGCACCCAGAAATCTCCATGTAGTCGCAACACCACTACCAAAATGTACCTGGCTAATTTCAAACACTGCTAGGTGCCCCAGGTTTTTCTGTTCCTAGTCATACAAATGTGAAATACAAAGGAATGCATAAATTGAGGGGTCAAAAGTGTATCATCTCCATTTGCAGAAGTGAATAATTGGCTCCAGGAATAATTGAATCATAGAATTGGAAGGGACCCTGAGGATCATCTGGTCCAGCCCTTCAGTGCAGGAATATGCAGCTGTCCCATATGGGGATTGAGCCCACAACTGTGGTGTTATCAGCACTCTAAAAAACTGAGCTAGTGCCTTGTTTAGGGGAAGGGGATATATTGCCCAAACAGCCCAGGTGATGGAGACAGAGCATTTCTGGTGTTAAAACCTGGAATATGAAAGCTAGGAGCTAAATGGTACCTTAAACATAGATTATGGGCTCAACAACGGAATGTCTAGGTGCGCTATTTAATAACAAGAATACAAAGCTGAAAATGAATTAACTGCAGCTAAAATATTATGTTCACTTTTCACATGGTCTAGTCTTTCCCCTGCCCACCCCCCAATATTTTTAAGAGGGTCTCTTCTCCAGAGAGAGTAGCTGGAAGTGGGGAGGCAGCAAAAGTTCCTCCTTTCCTTCCACTATGCAGTTTTAATCTGAAATCTTAGGTGCAGTACTGCGCCCAGAGCTCAGAAACGGCTCATGCTAATGAAATTCCCTGTTGCAAAATGTGCCTAGAACAATGGGAGTTTTGAACACTGTGCATTTTTGCTATTCCAGATTCACCTTAGCAGAGAAGCGTGCTTGCAAATTAATCATGTTTAACTTCCTTGAGTTACCCTTTTTAAAAAGAAGAAGACTATTTTGTTAAATATATGATGAGCCAGTGTGGTGTAGTGGTTAAGAACAGTGGACTTGTAATCTGGTGAACTGGGTTCGATTCCCCACTCCTCCACATGCAGTTGCTGGGTGACCTTGGGCTAGTCACACTTCTCTGAAGTCTCTCAGCCTCACTCACCTCACAGAAGGGAAAGGAGATTGTTAGCCACTTTGAGACTCCTTAGGGTAGTGATAAAGCGGGATATCAAATCCAAACTCCTCTTCTTCTCTATCATGAATTTCAGGAGTAGATACATAGGGTTACATAGGTAATATAGGTCTTGGTTCCAGGTGCTGATCAGACCTAAGCCTGCTTTCTTTGGCAAAGCATTAACTTAGCTTCTGAAGGTTTCACCAAGTGTTCACACTATGCCCTCTCATCCCCGGACTTAGACTTGTATCCAAAGTAGTGCTAAGTCAGTCATTCCGTTAGTGGAAGGATTTCTGTTTTCACAGTGGAACTTTCCCCCTCTCATCCCCCCCCCCCCAAATTTGTTCTGGAGTTTCCCCCAGGGTGTGTGTGCAGGAGGGGGAAGTTCTGTTGTGTAAGGCTAAATCCTTTGTTAACAGAATGAGAGCAGCTGCTCAGTGTGTTGGAGGGAGAAAAGGTTGGAAATGCATTGCCTTTTACCACTCCTTCCTTCCAAGTTAAACTATGGGCTAAAGAGCCATGATTAATATTGTTGCTCTGAATTTCGGTCAGTTCTCCATTTGATGGAATGTATAGGGAAGTTTCATGTGAACTAGTCTGTAGATGCATTGAGACAGTAGCCTGCTCTGGTTTATTACTGTGTTTTTTCCAACAGTGTCAATGACTGATATCTTATTGTGCATGCATTCTGACCCACAATTGCCTCTTGCTAGATGACTAGTTGCAAGGCAGAATTTAGCAAAATGAGGTATGGCTTTACTAGCTTGCATTGCTGAAATATGTGGTTTAATTGTGCAACTACCTTCAAAGGATAGTTGTCACACCTTGGAGTTTGGGTGCGTTTTGTGTTTGACTTCTAACTTATCCTGTCTAGACTTTGTGTTATGTTAAAAGTATAAGAAAAAGTGCTTGAAGTAGTAAAGAGACCCCTGACCATTAGGTCCAGTCATGGCTGACTCTGGGGTTGCGGTGCTCATCTCGCTTTATTGGCTGAGGGAGCCGGTGTACAGCTTCCAGGTCATGTGGCCAGCATGACTAAGCCGCTTCTGGCAAACCAGAGCAGCACATGGAAACACTGTTTACCTTCCTGCCGGAGCGGTACCTATTTATCTACTTGCACTTTGACGTGCTTTCCAACTGCTAGGTTGGCAGGAGCAGGGATTGAGCAACGGGAGCTCACTCTGTCATGGGGATTCGAACTGCCGACCTTCTGATCAGCAAGTCCTAAGCTCTGTGGTTTAACCCACAGCACCACCCACATACCACAAATGTAAATGTTTAAGATGTTTTAAACATTGCCTTGAATCCTGAGTTGATCTTCTATGCCCACTGACTTCATTTAGTCCTTACTGGGCTGCTCTGGGACAGCCCACCCCATTGTAGTTTTTTGTTTGTGGAAAGATTGACTCATGCCCAATCCTAGAACTGATTTATCAATTGATGTCTACAGACAGCTCTCAATTCCATCTCTTGAGACACTTAAATAGTTTATTCTTGTTAACCTGGAAGTGACCTACCCAGAGAATGTGATGGTTCATCTAACCTTTGTATACTTTAGTGCAGGGGTCAGCAACCTTTTTCAGCCATGGGCCGGTCCACCGTCCTCAGACCATGTGGTGGGCCGGACTATATTTTGAAAAAAATATATGAACAAATTCCTGTGCCCCATAAATAACCCAGAGATCAATTTAAATAAAAGCACACATTCTACTCATGTGAAAACACGCTGATTCCTGGACCATCCGCAGGCCAGACTGAGAATGCGCTTGGGCCGAATCCGGCCCCCGGGCCTTAGGTTGCCTACCCCTGCTTTAGTGTCTCTACCTCTCACCTTTCTTTTCAGTCACTCCATTTCCCCCTCCCACCCAATTGTCTGTTCTCCCCTCCCCCAATTCTGTCTCAACATCTTGTGCCATAGTGGTCTTATGCAGTTGTGGGAGGGGGAGTTTCTCCTCTTAAGGTTTTTTCTTGAAGAGTTTCTGAGCATCTGTAAATTTTAGACCAATATCTATCTATAGCATCTGAAGAAGTGTGCATGCACGCGAAAGCTCATACCAAGAACAAATTTGGTCTCTAGGGTGCTACTGGACTTTAAAAAACAAAATTATATATATATATTTCTGTAGTATACGTAATATGTTAATACCTCATGCAATTTTGCATGATACTGAGTACGTATAGAAAGTTTTGAATCATTGCTAGAAGGAATTAATAGTAATACCTGTATGAATCCCAAAGGTAATTTCCCCCTCTGCTTCTCTAGATACATGAGCATCTAAGGAGCATCTAGGGTTGAGTGTCTTCATTCCCACAAGACAAAGAGCCTCTTGGTTCCTCAAGTGCCAGCTGCTTGTGAAGGCTAACTTAAAAGTCAGTTGACTGGCTGTATCTTGCCAGTTTTCAAACATGCAGCCTTCACTTGCATATTTTCCTTCAACTGACCTTAGTATATGTTGTCTTCTGCTGGTGCCAATAATTTTATTATGCCCATCTTGATTTGTTGCTCTTTCTGTCTGTAGAGGGCAAGTTGAGATAGTGATTTCAGAAATGTTGACCTTGCTTTTATTTTTTACCCATTCATAGTCTACATTGGTGTGCCTCCCTGCGTTCAGACACTATTTTACTCTTTCATAGAATTCAGCATTGCATTTCAGATTGGTATTGTATTGTGGTCTTTGCTGTGGTGTGTTCCCAGCTGTGTGCAATTTACGCTCTCCAAGTAGTTAGACTCCTCAGTTTTAAAAAAGAAATGATTGAAACTATTTTGTACACAGATTTTTAGACTATCAATTGTCTGTTCCCATTTCTAAGTGACTCTACAGTGTGACCTTTCTGGTATACCAAATGTTGCTGTCATGGTAGTTTCTCAATTCTAGAGAGTGTTGGAGAAAGATAAAATGCCTGAATATTGTTACATATGCATCTAGGGCGCTTCCTGAAAGTGATTTCACTGTGCATATGTTGTTGCTTTCTGCAGCAGTTGAAAGGATCAGTGTTTTGATTTGGTTAAACCAAAACCACTAGATGCAATCTAACTACATTTCCATGATAATTCTAGATTTTAGAGGGTCCTTAAGGAGAGATGCTCACAGTGGGTCCTCCTTACTCCTATTGTTGATGCCCATTCACTTGCTTCTCTGGGCTTAGTCAGCACCATTTTCCAGAGGGGTGTGTGGGAGAGAGAGGTCAAGGTGTGCAAAGCTACTGCTCCTTTTCATTGTCTCATTGCTGGGTTTAACCTTTAAAATCAGTTTAGGGGTCCCTTATCTAAAGGACTGCCTTCACCTAAACAATCATTCTTGTTTAAGATCAACTGTGGAGACCTCTGTGACTGCCCAGACATTAAGATGGTAGGCACAAGGGATAAAGCCTTCTTGATTGTGGCCCTGCAGTTAGCAGAGCTGCCTATGAATGGGAAAGGGAGCTTTCAGTACAGGCCTTCAAACACACCTTGAGGATTTATTTCATCCAGTCTGGCTTTTTAACAATGTTTTTAATGCCACTGAGACCTTATAGTTAAGAATCTGTATTCTTTTACATATCTTAGTTCACCTTGACTTTTTTTGCTGCCTTATGAGGTCTGTGCTCCCAAAGCCAGCATATAAATCCTTATGGTCTAGCTTCTGCTGTGCTAGTGAGGAGGAGGAGGAGGAACAGGGCCAGGAGACTCCAGGGATTGGCAAATTACCCAGCAATGCTGATCCTTGACTGCATTATGTGGCATCGTGTGTGCTTTGTAAACCATAACCAACTGTCAGATTTTAAAATGTTGTACAGAAAAATACATCTACAAAAGTGGGATTCATTAAATATTAAGAAAACAATATTCAGAAAACAAGTATTTTCTGAAACAAGCTATGAACATTATGTTTGGTTACATTCAATCTATCCTAACCATTTCTGCTTCTTTATAGGTGGTATGGTCAAGAGAAAGATTATAATGTTCTAGTCATGGATCTTCTTGGACCCAGCCTTGAGGATCTCTTCAACTTTTGTTCTCGAAGGTTCACAATGAAAACAGTACTTATGTTAGCAGACCAGGTATGTAAATCTGCAAACATTACACAATGGCTATTACAGTGCCTTAAAATGCTGTTCTTTTCATTCTTTCAAGTAGGTCAGACTGTATGACTTATTACATGTACTCGAATGAATATAGAAACAAAAATGATAGAAAGAAAAAGGAATAGTGATAGTAGCAGATTATTTAATGTATATAACACAATATTAGAATTCTAGAAACTGTTTAATGGAGCCATGCAAGCAACTATATTGAGAGTTTTGCCTCATATCTTTACTTGCAGTCTTCATATTAATTGCATAAGACTGAAGTTATGCATGCATCTTTGGCTAGGAAGATCATCCAAAATACTGCAGTAGTTCACATTTCTCAGGCCAAGAGCCTATTGTAGCTATATTTCTCAATTAATTCAGGGTAAACAGAAGCTGAATGAAATAGGAAATAGTAAAGCCAACATTCACAGAAGGCTTCAATAAGATCCATTAGAATCAACAGATCTGCAGCATGGGCATATAATGCAGAGATTTGCAAAGGCATAGATTCTTACATTTAGAATAAAATGGCTATTGGATAGCAATTTGTTTCATGAATAGCTTGAACTGAGTCATCTGGAGGGCTAGTGAGCACTAGCCATTTAATATCAGAACTAACACAAGAAACACTCAAATACTCCAGAGTTGACATTTTAACAGTGTCATTTGTTCAATAACTGCTTGGAAGAAGTAGTTTGCAACATACAATGGGAGAAGTAGTTTGGATCCATAGTAGCTTCATCCCTGTTGAACAGAGCAAGTGAAGTATTCCACTGCTAAAGTTAAGTGTTCTTATCGATTACTCCTATTCAGGAAATATGGACATACTGGGTGTAGTAGACAGGTGCTCATTTGTATGGAGACATGCTTTACAAGTATTACTGTGATTCTAAATCTGTTATTTTAGTATACATTTAAATTGCATGATTAAATAAAATGTCTGTTGTTTTTCTTCTAAGTCATCAGCATGAATGCCATCCATACATGACAAAGCCTTTTAAACCTTTTTAGACTGTTAGGAAGAAACTCCGTATCCAATCTCTGTAGAGTGGATGAGTCAGCAGGGGGTTTTGTTTGTTTGTTTGTTGTTTTACACTAGCTAACATTCAAAAGCATTACTAAACTAGTAGTCTTACTGTCTGGTTTGATTTGTATGTTGTAGGTCAGGATAACTAACCATCCCTCTCGAAGCCCATGGGCCTGCTCTTGTTACCCAAGCAGTTTTTTTCTGGACCCTCCAACAATTATGGCAGCAGAAAAAGAAAACAAAGTGCTGGGATAGTTGGAAAAGTTTCAACCCCTCTGCACACCCCAGTACCTTGATGGCAGTGCATTTTACATTTCCCCCAATCATTTGATGAACAGGAAGAGGCAATAACACTCCCCCACCCCCCACCCCCACAAATCTCATCTGATTTGCATGGATTAGCTGAGGACAAACCATGTGGGGTGTGTGTTTGTGTACACAAGAGGGTGAGAGTGGGTGTGGTGTGGTGTGGTCGCACCAACTCTTGGCTACCAACATGCAGTCTTTGGGTTCATAAAGATTAGCAACAATGCAGGTAGTAGCCAAAACATGCTTAGATTCATGCCTAAGATATTGTTGCTTGAAAAGCTCTGTAATCTTGGTCATTTTTCTTTTGTTCACAGATGATCAGTAGAATTGAATATGTGCATACAAAGAATTTTATACACAGAGACATTAAACCAGATAACTTCCTAATGGGTATCGGGCGTCACTGTAATAAGGTTAGTCTAATACTTTTTTGCATGAAAGAATGGAGGATGCTGAAATGGCAGTTCATGGAAATGCTGTGCAGCTTGAATTAATTGCTTGTCATTGCTAAACATGTCAATTATTTGCTGACATCTGTCAATTATTTGGCAACAGATAGGAATTTCAATCATAGTGCTAAATGCAGAAGTGAGCTATGGCCCCAACCTTTGGCCATATTTTAATTATGGAATTTAAGGATATAAATCAATATGTTGTCTAATGGACTTATAATTGAGTATGCAAGTTCACTCTGTTCAGTGATACTGTTGATCATTCAGAACCCATGAGTTGCAATAGCACCGCTTACCATAAACTGCGATTTCTTTTTCTCAATTGCATTTAGGCCAGCATGGTGAAGCCTTTACTACCAGCTACCTAGATATTAAAATTGGCTGTAACCAATCTATAGAGAAACCATTGACTTCTAATAGTAACACAAGCCTGTTGACTTAACTGCTTCCTTTGCTTTCACAAACCTGTGAAAGTTCAAAGTGCAGTTAGTGTAGATATAGAATAACAGTCACAGACTTAAAGTACTGTAACTTTTTTTTTTTACTAGAAGGGGATGATTTATTAATTTAGCTGGAGATGCATGTCTTTGTTGGATTTTTTTCTTGACTAGACTGTGGGATTAAAATTCATTAAACTACATTGAGCTTGGACAGACAGGCAGCATTGGCAGTGCATTAAGCATGCTGTTGGATAGAAATTCTTAAGTGCAGGACAAATGTATGTGATTGATTATTTTATTGGGAGCAAGATACCCACCTGGTTCTTCATAGGCCTTCAGTGTTGACTCTTCAGATACTACTAGCTATAAAATGTTACCTTTGTTTGCCTGTATGGATGCCAACTTGGGACCATTACTTTAGAACCAAAAAACAAAACAACCACCGTCACTATTGAATTCTGTTTTAAAGGAGTTACAGTACACCAGTTAGGAACATTGGGGAGGTGGGGTGAGAAAAAACAGCAGCACTCAAAAATAAGGTAAAATGCCTTCCTGTAATCCTATTCCTGTTAAATTTCATCTATCTCTAAATTTTGCACTCTTAACATTCTGTTTCCCTAATGCAATCCAATTCTTTAACTTTCTGGCAAGAACTGGAAATATAGCAAGAACAATTAAACCAGTTAATGCAATTTTTCTTCTTTTGAGTCCCTTTCTTCACACTCTTGACAGTTGTAGTGGGCTGGCATTGTAGCTCCTTGATTTTCTTTTGAAGTGAAAGAATAGCCGGGAAAATGCTGTTGTGCTTTTATTAGGTGAGTTTCTTAGGATCATATTGGAAGATGTAAACCGCATCCCGTTTCTCATTCCCAGGAAGGCACTTGGAGTCTGTACCAAATACTTAAATGGAAAGCAGATGCCCACTATTTAACATTTCAAATAATGCTGGACATAGGAGTCTAAATCCCTTGGTTTAATCTAAGCAGAATTTAAATAAAATTTTGCTTTAGGTCTGTGTAAATAGCAGCGCTCTCTCTCTCTCTTTCTGTCTTTTGAAATTTGGTTTTAGATATAGTATGCAGTTTTCTTCTTGTAGCAAAAATGGAGGTAAACATTTTGTATCTTTCATGAATTCTTTCAAAACACACCAGTTGCAGTAGGATAGCTTGTTATGGTAATCTTGTTCCAGTAGATTTTTTTCAATATAAATGAATTTAAAATGTAGTGATTAAAATTGGAATGCTGCATTTCTCAAATTTGTTCTTAATTACATATTTAGGCGTGATTTCACTTCTAGCATAAGATCATCTCTGAGCTGTGCTAGAATAAGCCCTGCATGCTTATGATAGTGAATTTAAGGTGACTAAATGCCTTCTACCTCTTCCTTACTGAAGATTTACTTCCTACATGTCATTTGGGAGAAGGGCAGTTTGTGGAGTCAAAGGATACTTTTGTACATGATATCCAAATTTTCTTCTTATAAAAGCCAAATGTTGCCATTGCTATCCCTTATTCAAGGCAGTGTCATTTTGAAGTGGCTCATGCTCAAAATTTATCTTGCCACATCTAAATTTTTCCTTATAACATTATCTCTTCTGGAAAACTATAGTGCTTGGTGGAAGAAGGATGGCATTTGGCTACCCTATTCTTTCTCTAACGCCTCGGTGTTGCCTGTCTGCGCCAGCCATTGTTGCAATGTAAGCAATACTGTTTGATGCACTGCCACCCTCTATTGTTTGTTCAGTGTTTAGAATCTCCAGTGGGGAAGAGGAAAAGAAGCATGACTGTTAGTACTTCTCAGGACCCATCTTTCTCAGGATTAAACCAGGTCTGAAACTGTCTCCTATTCCAACCTCAATCCCAAACTCATATGCTTTTTTGTTTTGTTTCGGAAAACATGTAGACTTGCAAAAAGCACCTTTTGTTGGCATATTATTCAGACATACTTGGCAAACATGTAACATTACTAAAACGTTTTCCTTGTGGCGCTTGTTTAAACTATAAGGTTCTTATGCTGTCTGTTAAAATGTGAACAAAGTTAAGTATCACTTAACTACTCTAATGTTCTTGTTCTTGAGAAATAGCCCTGTGTTCAAAAATGCAGCAGCAAGGAGGATGTGCTGTGAGGGAATTGCATATGCCTGCTTAAATGTACATGGTCTGTATCTGGATGTAGGAGGCCTCTTATCCCGTTCATTGACAGCATGATGTTTGTTTGAAAAAAATGAATTTCGGGTCTGGAAACATTCAAGACAAACTCTACTTCTTCCTTGTGTATTAGTAGCTCTGATGGTTTATTCAAATGTAGAATAAGGGACAAGGATCATCTTGTTGCCAGTGGTACATTTAAACAGAATTATTTGATCATAGATCACTGGTAGTTTTGTATTTTTTAAAGCTTTGCTATATCCCAGAAAATGGGCACAAGGTGTCTTAAGCAGCTTTTTCATTTGCTTTTTAAGGCTGAACCTTATTCCACTTCTTTAGAGACCTAAGTTTTGAAAATGCAGTAAGTAAAATGGATTATCTTTTGATTATGCCTCTTCTTGGGCTAGCATTAACATCTACTTCAAATGGATGTTACTTAGTTTCCAAAGCTACACTGTAAGCCCTGGGTGTTGTGCAATTTAAGAGTTTTAACTTCTTAGCTTGCTCTAAAATTACTTTAGTTGTTGAAAAGGGAAGGAGGAGTTGGGCCTTAAGTATGGTGCTACTCATGAATATTACTACTTACGACTAGTGATGCTTTTGTGTCAGGAAGCTGGTGCTGGACAGGAAAATTTAGCTCTGGTGGGAACTTTTATTCCAGTGCAGATGTCGGTCCCTGGTCTGGACTGGGACCAGAGAAGTAGACAAAGTTGATTCTAATTAGGACCCCCTGGCCTGCTACTTCCTCTACAAAATATAAAACAATAAAAACCTACACCATTCATTCAATTACTAATTGCCATGTCTAATTTGGCCCATAGTACTCCACTTGCAACTGAAGCAGCTTGGCTTCCAGAGCCTTATTCCTTGCCTGGTAACATCCCTTTTCAACACCCTCCTCAGCAGAGAGGCAAACTTTGCAAACGAGCTTCAGAAGGTTTATTGCCATGGAAGAGGGTGTGTGGAAAACAAGTCCATGTTTTTTCATTCACCTGCCTTTTGCCACTGGGTCATACTCTTTCAGAAATGGTTGGGAGGGGGTGTTTTCATCTCCAGAATTGGGTCCCTCACATTATCCAAATTGCTAATGCATATTGCTTCAAAATATTGCTTCACTCTGTTAGTGAAAATTATCAGAAATGAAGGAATGTATTGCAGATGAAAAATATGCAGGGTCTCGTATTCCAGTCTGCCATATATTAGTGTGCTAGCCTCACTAAAGATTGAGGTTCCTATGAGAGTAATTTTAAGTGAGTTCTCCCCTAAAAACTCACATGGAAATGAAGACCACCTATTTTGTGCTAGTATGGAAAGAGGCATTTTGGAAAAGCCCCAAACTGCCGGTCTGAAATAGCATCTTCATTTAGATCAAGAACATTTTTTCCCCATTGCATTTATCAGTAAAACTGTTGTCCAGAAGAAGTTTTAATAATAAGATTTTGATCATTTACATCAGGCACCCCCAAACTCGGCCCTCCAGCTGTTTTTGGACCACAGTTCCCATCATGCCTGACCTGTCCTGTTAGCTAGGGATGGTGGGAGTTGTAGTCCAAAAACAGCTGGAGGGCTGAGTTTGGGGATGCCTGATTTACATCATAGATGCGTCTCTGAAGATCCTATCTTGGTACAGTGGTGCCTCGCAAGACGAAATTAATCCGTTCCGCGAGTCTCTTCGTCTTGCGGTTTTTTCGTCTTGCGAAGCACGGCTATTAGCGGCTTAGCGGCTATTAACGGCTTAGCGGCTTTAAGAAAAAGGAAACAAACTCGCAAGAACTCGCAAGACGTTTCGTCTTGCGAAGCAAGCCCATAGGGAAATTCGTCTTGCGGAACGACTCAAAAAACAGAAAACTCTTTCGTCTAGCGAGTTTTTCGTCTTGCGAGGCATTCGTCTTGCGGGGCACCACTGTACCTGTAGTGAAGCAGTCTGTAGAGTAGAGAGGAGGACATTCAGAGTAGTATTTGATAACTGTGGAAATTGCAAGTTGTGACAATTACTCATTTGGGTCAGTAGTTCATTCTATATGTAGTTGCTTCCAGTTATTCATTTGTGATGGATGATTAGAGAACTTTTGTCTGCATCCGCTCATAGCTTGAAACAATTCTTAATTCTTTTTAAATGCTGCTGTCCTTATTCTTGGTTCTGTATGCCTCAATTGAACTGTGATAAGTGTAGAAACTAAGGAAAATAAATTACAAAGTACCGTATTTTTCGCTCTATAACACGCACCCGACCATAACACGCAGGTAGTTTTTAGAGGAGGAAAATCCGTAGGCATGCCACCCGTAGGCATTCCCTCCATAACATGCACAGACATTTCCCCTTACTTTTTAGGAGGAAAAAAGTGAGTGTTATGGTGCAAAAAATACGGGATATCCGTAAAGGCATTGGCAACCTGAAAAAGACAACTGTTTTGAACTAGTTTTGGGTTTTTTTTTAAAGTAAAAACGTGCATATTAGAACTTAGTTTTCTATCAGGTGTTCTCTTCTGAAGAGTTTTTAGGAGAATTATTTCTCCCCTTTAAACTGCTGCTTACTTGATATAGAAGTCTGACTTAAAAACTTAGTATAATTTAAATAATTTGCACACTTTAAAAGTTAAGTATGGTTAAACATATATTGATGCAGCTGTATAGGTCTATAGGTCTTTTTTAACTTGTTCTCCATAGAGCCAAAGCTGATAAATTATTGTTATTTTATTTCTATTTTATTTCTATTTATTAAATTTCTCTACCTCCCTTTGCCTGAAGATCACAGGGTGGTTTACAATATAAAAATACAATTTTTTTTTTGCCATAGTAAAAAACAAAAACAAAATTCCCCCGCCCCATTTAAAAGGCTATAGATTGTTTAAAAAGGGAGAGGGTGGTGCTGTGATCAAAACCACTGAGCCTCTTGGTCTTCCTGATAGGAAGGCTAGTGGTTTGAATCTGTGCAACGGGGTGAGCTCCCATTGCTCTGTCGCAACTTCTGCCAACCTAGCAGTTTGAAAGCACACCAAAATAGATAAATAGGTACTACTGTGATGGGAAGTTAAACGGCATTTCCGTGTGCTCTGGCTTCCGTCACGGTGTTCCATTGCGCCAGAAGTGGTTTAGTCATGCTGGCCACGTGACCCGGAAAGCTGTTTGTGGACAAACTCCTCAGCCTTAAGCAAGATGAGCGCTGCAAGCATAGTCACCTTTGGTTGGACTTAACCGTTCATGGGCCCTATACCTTTACTTCTATCTTTTACATTGTTTAATTGGCCGAAGGCCCGGGAGAACAGGAATGTTTTTGCCTGGTGCCTAAATATTGAGCCTCCCTGAGGAAATCATTCTACAAGTGAGGATACACCCCAGAAAAGGCCTGTAGATAAAGGGCCTTTCCTACATACTACTCGAGATGTCTGTGATGAGATGAATCAAAGTTCAGGAATTGCATCTTGCTTTGGTATAGAAAAGTTGGTAAGAGGTTTATCCTGTGGCAGTCAAATGTTGAATTCTACCATGGATGTATTTAACTACCGTATTTCACCACATAATGGCCACATTTTTTTGCCGATTTTTCTTTTAAAAAGGGAGGGTGCAACTATTACACTGTGGCGACTTTTACACGGTGAAATAACGGTAAGAAGCAACAACATGCTATGGACTCCGGTTTCTTTAATAGGGCAATGGTTCAATAGGTGCAATACAAAGCAAATGGCACAGACATTGTCCTTTCCATTCGAGATCTTGCCTTCTCCCTGTGCGAAGTTCTGTCAAAAGAGGAGGCGGCTTCAGTTGTCGATTAAAGTTATTTCTTCCTGGGTTTCTCATTCCCTTTCAATGCTATTCGCTCGTGCAGAGGTGGAGGAAGGAATCACGGATGGGTGGTGGAGGTGGTTGCTCGTCTGCTGCTTCCTCTTCTTCGCTGGGGTGGCCCCAGGGCGCAAGCTCAGGTTGGTGGCAGTAACAGCAGCCTGGGCCTGGCTTTGCCTGGCCTCCTCCAGCTGGCAAGCCAACGAGGGCCCGGACTCCCACCCTCACCCCTTCAGGAGCCTGCTGTGCCGACCCTTGGCTCGCACCAGAGTTATACCCTGCTACTATTATGCGGTGAATATTTTTGGGGTACCCAAAAGGGTGGTGCAACTGTTATGCAGTGGTGACCATTACGCGGTGAAATATGGTAGTGGTTTTAAAAAAATTAATCCCGCTCTTCAGTAAAAAAGGTACCCAGAGCAGCTTATAAATGACTTTAAAAAGAACATAATTTCTGCCTTCAAGCTTACAGCCTAAAAAGACAAAACAAAAGGAAAGAGTGGAAGAAACAAATGAACTTAGGTGCAAGTTGTAAGCTATAATTTTTAGTGACTGATTGGGAAAATAATAACAAAAACATCAGGGAAGCGAATTGAAAAATTTGAGTAGATTAGCTGTGAGCTAATAAGTAAATGGCAGAAAAGCAAATTTATTTGAGAAACTAAAGCCAGAACACAATTGAATAAAATTGTGCCTCTCTTTTTCCTAGTTCATAATTTTTTTTACCTAATACCTAGGCTTGAGACCAATGACTCAATCATATACCGGTCTACTCAGAAGTAAGCATTCAGTTCAATGGGGCTTGCTGCTAGGTAAAATACGTTAGAATCTGCCACCTAATTCTCACTCTGTATAGTATGAAGTTTTTCCTTAGCCGATTTAGGAATATGAGTGTTCTTTGTTTGGATTAGTTATACATACGACAGTGCTCCTCTTAGGCTTAATTATAGCTAAACATGATTTTGTTAGATCCAACGTTTCTAACAAATGCATTTTAAAGACATGGGTGTAGTTTCCAAGCACTGGCTGGAATCCATTAAATCCATTTCATTATTTTTTTTTAAAGTTATTCCTTATTGACTTTGGGTTGGCCAAAAAGTACCGGGACAACAGGACAAGGCAACATATACCATATAGAGAAGACAAAAATCTCACTGGCACAGCCAGATACGCCAGCATCAATGCACATCTCGGCATTGAACAGAGGTAAGGTCCAAGCAATTTCTGTAATGATGCTAGAAGCTGTTAATATTTGGGATCTTGAATGGACACAACCTAAATGAAGTTTAATTTCTCGCTAAAGAAATTAGCTAAGAAATGAAGGTAGATTAAATGTTCTCAACAGTTTAGTATCTTCTTGTTAAAATGATTCCCTCACAACAATTTCAGTAAACTAGGATCTGTCAAAGCCTGTTTTACAAATAAAACAATCCATTTCTTTCCATCTGCATGACACAATGTAAAATTCCCCAAACCCAGATTCTGTTCAGTAGTTTTGGTAAAGTATTATACTGCTAGTGTTTGGGTTTCTATGTATGCCAGTTGTTTTGAATGGGGAGAGCTTGCTCTTACTATGTTTAGAACTATTTTGGTTGTTTAAATTTTAGTTGCCTAGTTCTTGCTTCTAGAAAGATGGCTGAATAATATCATCTAAGTAGATTTCCATGACTCACTGAAAATGCTAAACTCTGCTTAGAGCACATTCCTATCTTGTGGTACTATTCTGTTTCTAGACTTCTAGGTCCTCATTCCCAAAATCAAATGTACCCCAAAAAACTAAATTTGTTTATAACTCAGGTTATGTATTGGTATGTTGGCAGTTTTATTGATCACCAGCTTCCTTTCAAACCATGCTAAGTCCTCAGATGGCAAGTGCTTTTATACCTTTTAAGCATAAACTAAAAAACAACAACACCTGCCTCTTCCTCCACAGTCGTCGTGATGATATGGAGTCACTAGGATATGTATTGATGTACTTTAACAGAACCAGCCTGCCGTGGCAAGGATTAAAGGTATGTCATGAAATTTTACTTGAGGTTTATATTCTCCCCCCCAATCCATCACTCCCACTAGTGTAGTAGAGAACACTGCTACACATAGTACTGTATACTTGGCTCAATTGTTAAAAAGGCCTCATAACTCCATGGTGTCAAATGTTTTCTCCACATACAGTGGTACCCCGCAAGACGAACGCCTCGCAAGACGGAAAACCCGCTAGACGAAAGGGTTTTCCGTTTTGGAGGCGCTTCGCAAAACGAATTTCCCTATGGGCTTGCTTCGCAAGACGACAGCCCATAGGGAAATCTCAGGGACAGCGGGAAGCGCAGCGCGTCTTCCCCACTGTCCTCGGACCTCCTCCGAAGCCTGGCGGCGGGGCGGGGACACCTCCTCCCGCCGCCGCCGGGCTCGGAAGGCTCCTCCGAGCCGGGCGGGGGAGGGAACACCTGCCGCCGCCGCCCGGCTCGGAATGGTGCTCCGGCCGGGCGGGGGGAGGGAAGACCTGCCGCCGCCGCCCGGCTCGGAACGGTGCTCCGGGCCGGGCGGGGAGGGAAGACCTCCGCCTCTGCCCGGCTCGGAACGGTGCTCCGAGCCGGGCGGTGGGAGGGAAGACCTCCCCGCCGCCGGGCTTCGGAAGGCTCCTCCGAGCCGGGCGGGGGGAGGGAACACCTGCCGCCGCCGCCCGGCTCGGAACGGTGCTCCGAGCCGGGCGGGGAGGAAGACCTCCCCGCCGCCCGGCTCGGAACGGTGCTCCGAGCCGGGCGGGGGAGGGAAGACCTCCGCCTCTGCCCGGCTCGGAACGGTGCTCCGAGCCGGGCGGTGGGGAGGAAGACCTCCCCGCCGCCGGGCTCGGAAGGCTCCTCCGGCCGGGCGGGGGGAGGGAACACCTGCCGCCGCCGCCCGGCTCGGAACGGTGCTCCGAGCCGGGCGGGGGAGGGAAGACCTCCCCGCCGCCGGGCTCCGGAAGGCTCCTCCGAAGCCGGGCGGGGGGGAGGGAACACCTGCCGCCGCCGCCCGGCTTCGGAACGGTGCTCCGAAGCCGGGCGGGGGGGAGGGAAGACCTCCCGCCGCCGCCCGGCTTCGGAACGGTGCCCGAGCCGGGCGGGGGGAGGGAAGATCTCCCGCCTCTGCCCGGCTCGGAACGGTGCTCCGGCCGGGCGGTGGGGAGGGAAGACCTCCCCGCCGCCCGGCTCGGAACGGTGCTCCGGGCCGGGCGGGGAGGGAACACCTCCCGCCGCCGCCCGGCTCGGAACGGTGCTCCGGCCGGGCGGGGAGGGAAGACCTCCGCCGCCGCCCGGCTCGGAACGGTGCTCCGAGCCGGGCGGGGGGAGGGAAGACCTTCTGAAGGCGGGCGGGGGCGAAAGTCTTTGCTCCCCCTGCCTGCCTGTCCCGGAGGGCTTTGAAGGCGGGGAGCAAGACTTTCGCCCCCGCCCGCCTTCAGAAGAGGTCCAGGACCTCTTCTGAAGGCTGGCGGGGGCAAAAGTCTTTGTCCCCCTGCCTGCCTTCCCAGGGGCTTTAAATTGCCCCGGACAGCGGAGAAGTCCTCCGCTGTCCCGGGTGATTTTAAAATGCCGCCCGCCAGCATTTTAAGATCGCCCGGACAGCGGAGAAGTCCTCCGCTGTCCCGGGTTTTTTTAAAATGCTGGGGGTGGGAAGAAAAGCCCTTGCCCCCCCCCCAGCCTTCAGAAGAGGTCCGGGGACAGACTGTCCCCGGACCTGGTCTGAAGGCGGTTTCCCTAGGAACGCATTAATTGATTGTCAATGCATTCCTATGGGAAACCGTGCATCGCAAGACGAAAAACTCGCAAGACGAAGAGACTTGCGGAACGAATTAATTTCGTCTTGCGAGGCACCACTGTATCTTGAATAAAACAAACACAGTATGCTTAATGCACAATAACCATATGATGTAGGCATTAGACTGCAATAAATGGCATTCAGCTACATTCAAAACTTAATACCAGATTGACCTTCATTTCCTTTGCAATATATTGTGGTACTGTGGTACCTCGGGTTAAGAACTTAATTCGTTCTGGAGGTCTGTTCTTAACCTGAAGCACCACTTCAGCTAATGGGGCCTCCTGCTGCCGCTGCGCCTCCGCTTCATGATTTCTGTTCTCAACCTGAAGCAAAGTTCTTAACCCCAGGTAATATTTCTGGGTTAGCGGAGTTTGTAACCTGAAGCGTATGTAACCCGAGGTACCACTGTACTTGGAGATTTCATATAAAGCCTTGTCCATCAAGGTTCTGTCCATCTGATATTTGCAGCTGTCCTTGTGTCACATATATTTATCCATGTGTCCCACAGGCTGCAACAAAGAAACAGAAATATGAAAAGATTAGTGAAAAGAAGATGTCTACTCCTGTTGAAGTTTTGTGTAAGGTGAGAGAAAAGCTGTTGTTAAGAACGTTAATTGCTTTGGCAAAGAGCTATCTTTTCATTAGTAAAGTAGCCAAGAACTCTTAGACACAATATAAATTCTTTTCTTTGTTTTCCTGCTCTTAAAAAACAAAACTTGCAATAATCCAGAACTGATGTCTTGCATTTAAGACCTACGAGAATCTTTTCTGTAAGTCACTGTTTGTCTAATTCTGTTTGCAGGGTTTTCCTGCAGAATTTGCAATGTATCTGAACTACTGTCGTGGCTTGCGCTTTGAAGAGGCTCCTGACTACATGTATCTGAGGCAGTTATTCCGTATCCTTTTCAGGTCAGTGGGGCTGAGGGTACCACAAAACCTTTGAGCATAACAGTGATAAACTAGCAAGTGTTTAGAACTAGAAAAAAAGTTCTGCTGACTTTTTATCAGCTTTAACAGAAACCCGTAGCCCTCACCAGGATAGCCTTAATCTCCATCTGGTTGAGGATTAGCCTGTCACCAGCAGCACTGAAAACAAATATAACATGCATTATCTTCAAACACTTACCCAGATCAGTCAGGTTTTTTTTTGTTTTTTAAATTGAGTAAATGCATGAATTATCTGTAAAAGATCAAATCTAGTATTTCAGCAGAAGAAACTACCTTTATTTCATTGACCACTTCAGTTAACTTAATTTGTCAAGAGTGGAAAGCCAAGCAACATTTAAAGATATATGGCTGCAATAAAACACAGTTCATGATGTCACATTTCCCAGGGCAATGGGGTTGTAAGCAAAATTTGCCCCAAATTTACAAGCTGGTTGGATGAACGTAGGCCTTGTGTTTTAGAAAGAATATGGACATACTGGGAAGGGGAATGGTCCTTGTATACTAAAATGGTTTTGTATCTGAAATTTCATGTTACTACCCAAGGTTCAAGCTGGTTTGTATGTGTAAGTTGTACATTAATTACAATGTAAGCTGTCCTTACTGTTTATAAATGTTGAATTGCTCAAAATGGATTACAGCTTTAATACAGACTATTATAATAGAAAATGACCAAGATCCCAAGTGTCACATGTGATGGTCTGCACAAATCAAGCAATTTTTTTGAGTACCGTATTTTTCGCTCCATAGGACGCACTTTTTCCCCTCCAAAAATGAAGGGGAAATGTGTGTGCGTCCTATGGAGCGAATGCAGGCTTTCGCTGAAGCCTGGAGAGCGAGAGGCATCGGTGCGCACCGACCCTCTCGCTCTCCAGGCTTCAGGAAGCTATCCGCAAGCCTTGCAAGCCCGGTGGGAGTTCCCGCGGGCTCACAAGGCTTGCAGGCAGCAGCCTGCAGCCCCGGCGAGTGTCCGCAAGCCTTGCGCGCCCGGCAGGAGGTCCCGCCGAGCGCGCGAGGCTTGGGGCAGCAGCCTGTCGCCCGAGCACGGGAGCCCTCCGGAGGGCTCCCGTGCTTCGGGCGAGTGTCTGCAAGCCTTGCGCGCCCGGCAGGAGGCCCCGCCCAGCGCGCAAGGCTTGGGGTGGCAGCCTGTCGCCCGAAGCACGGGGAGCCCTCCGGAGGGCTCCCCGTGCTTCGGGCGAGTGTCTGCAAGCCTTGCGCGCCCGGCAGGAGGTCCCGCCCAGCGTGCAAGGCTTGGGGCTGCAGCCTGTCGCCCGAGCACGGGAGCCCTCCGGAGGGCTCCCGTGCTTCGGGCGAGTGTCTGCAAGCCTTGCGCGCCCGGCGGGAGGTCCCGCCCAGCGCGCAAGGCTTGGGGCTGCAGCTTGTCGCCCGAGCACGGGAGCCCTCCGGAGGGCTCCCCGTGCTTCGGGCGACTGTCTGCAAGCCTCGCGCGCCCGGCGGGAGGTCCCGCCCAGCGCGCAAGGCTTGGGGCTGCAGCTGTCGCCCGAAGCACGGGAGCCCTCCGGAGGGCTCCCGTGCTTCGGGCGAGTGTCTGCAGCCTTGCGCGCCCGGCGGGAGGTCCCGCCCAGCGCGCAAGGCTTGGGGCTGCAGCTGTCGCCCGAAGCACGGGAGCCCTCCGGAGGGCTCCCGTGCTCGGGCGAGTGTCTGCAAGCCTTGCGCGCCCGGCGGGAGGTCCCGCCCAGCGCGCAAGGCTTGGGGCTGCAGCTTGTCGCCCGAAGCACGGGGAGCCCTCCGGAGGGCTCCCGTGCTTCGGGCGAGTGTCTGCAAGCCTCGCGCGCCCGGCGGGAGGTCCTGCCCAGCGCGCAAGGCTTGGGGCTGCAGCTTGGCGCCCGAAACACCGGGAGCCCACCGGAGGGCTCCCCATGATTCGGGCGAGTGTATGCAAGCCTCGCGCGCGAGGCTTGGGGCGGTAGCCTGCAGCCCGAAGCACGCGAGGCTTGGGGCGGCAGCCGCGGGGGGGGGAATAATTTTTTTTATTCATTCCCCCCCAAAAAAACGAGGTGCGTCCTATGGACCGGTGCGTCCTATAGAACGAAAAATACGGTACTCCAAAAAGCTTCGGGTGGTTGCCTCATAGCATGGATAGGTAGCCAGATGGAGGAAGGGAACTGGGTGCAGAGATAAATTATTTCCTCCCACACTAGCATGTGAAGTGCTTTACACTTTATGTATGGGGCTCTTTGGATCTTGGCCAATACTTTGTAAATGACGGCTAAGTGGCTTTCAAACTTGCTGCAAACAGGTTTTTAATTATTAATCCACCACACTACTCAATCTTCAAGTGTTTTACAAAGCATTATTAATTTTAGGCTTCAGTAAAATTTGTCTGCTATATAACGGCAATGTAGGTATTGCATTGCAGTGAATATTCTGCTTTCTTTTTCTTTTTCTGCTCACTAGGACTCTGAATCACCAATATGACTACACATTTGACTGGACAATGTTAAAGCAGAAAGCAGCACAGCAGGCAGCCTCTTCCAGTGGGCAGGGGCAGCAAGCCCAAACCCCCACAGGCAAGCAAACTGACAAATCCAAGAGTAACATGAAAGGTTAGTAGCCAAGAACCAAGTGACGTTACAGTCCAAAAATAATAAACACTAATTTGGATGTCGGTGAAGTTAAGTGTTAGATCAAGGAGGCCATTAAAAACATACATTTGGCTATTTAGTATTAAAGAAAACGGACGTCCTTGGAAAATTTGACTACTAACTTTAAACCAAGTGTCCTTGTTTTTCATATCATTTCTTTGGGGATGTTGGGTCATTTTAACCACTGCATCTTCTGCTCCCGCATTAACCCCTCTTCAAAACTGGCTTGGTGTTGGGAACATGACAAACAGTATGATCCAAAATCCTAGACCTAACACTTTTTAAGAGGAAAGCCTTCTATTTCCTTTTTCTATTGGGTCAGCATTTAGAAGCTTTGGTACGGGTACCTTTATTCTTGCATCCAAAATGAAGATGGAAAAGTAGGCATGATCTCACTTGGAATTCTGCCTAAAGCACTTGTGTGATGGATTTTTATTCCTTGGCATAGATAGTGTTAATTTTCCATCTTCAATTACAAATCCAGGCATGGATTATCCTGTGGGGTGAACTAATAAGGGGACTCTTTAATTTAAATTGAATTTTAACTGTCCATTACGTTAAGTTTTTGCTTTTATTAAAATGTGGATTCAAATGAAAACTGAATTTAATATGTTTTCAACACTGACACCTCTTAAACTGGTTTTCTATGAAGACCAAACCATGGGAGAACTTCTGTCCAAAGCTTAATAAATACAGCCCAGTACTGTATATCCTGGGCTTTTGTGGCTATAGGTGAGCCATGTCCTCTATCAGGTTGGCTTGTTACCCACAAAGGAGCTCACTCTGCTCCTTCCTAGAATGGGGGTTCCAAGATCTCTCAGGGTGATGCACTTCATGAGGCAGCTTCATGAGGTGACATCTACAGAATTGCAAATGGTGGATGCCACATCTGCAGTAATTCAGGTTTAAACAGAACCCATTTTACAGCAGGAAGGTAGACAGTAAGATAGCTAGGAGCTGAGCCTGCTGCTAACCTGTGGTGGGAATGGATAGGGTTGTACCTGTCATAGGGGACCATCATGCCAGTCCTTGAATAAAGAGTCTGAAAAACAATCCTAGTGTGGGTGGGGGGTGGAATACACCTATTCCAGACAAGAAAGAATGAGGTGGAGCTCACAATGCGCTGAAGGAAATAGTAGAAAATCTCTCAAATTTTATTGTGCGCTTAACACATTTGAAGCGTAGCCATTCACTATTGTCTTCTGAATAAGGTGTTAAAGGGGGAAGGGGGACAATGAAGGTCTATGAGTTAGTGAAGACTTCACTCTTCTTGAGAAGCAGAGTCTCCAAAAATGCCAGAAACTGGGGTGTCTGAAGAGAAGAGAAGCCTTCAGTGAAGCAATCTGAGACAAGACTGTGATGATTGTACCTACCTGTACTTAACATGGAATAAAGTGAAGTTACCTGCTGAAATTGGTTTGCATCCTGGTATCCGTGGGGCAGACATGGTCAAAAGATAATAGAATGGAACAAAGAGGTCTGGGCCAAAGGGACTACAAGTCTTCATAGATTTGAGCATCCAGTTCTTGGCTTTAGCAGACAAACAACCTATGTTTTACCATATTCATCCACTGAGTTCACTTGAGTTGCCTTGTAAGTCCTATTTTGTAGTCTCAAGTCCTTGAATACTGCAATTTGCTCAATTCACAAATGGTAAACATTATTACTCTTACCAGCTGAACTTGAATTACTACTTTTCATAAAATGGAAAAAATAGTCTGTCCAGTAATAAGCAAATGCTTCTGAAAAGTCTGCTTAATCTTAAAGTAGATAATCTTGATCCGTGCCTTTACATGAGGAGAGGGAGACAAGACAGCAGAAAGCACTAATTTCGCATTTCTCCACCAAGTACAAATAATTCTGTAGGGCCAGAGGAATGTGAGTTGAACAAAACTTGAGATTGCTGGCTATTTTGTTATTCTGAGGTGGGGCAGAGGAGTGGATGCAACACAGAGAAGAAACTCAAGGCAGGTAGGGAAAGGACAGCTTTGTTTGCTCTTCTTAGCATCTAGGGTTGGTCACAATTAGCTGTTACACGACTTTCTGGCAAATAGAAGGCTCTTATTGGAAAATAAATTCTTCCAGTGTTAAACAAAATAATCAGGGGGGAGGAGTATTAAATGAAAACTGGGACAAGGAAGCAAGGCCTGGTTTTCAGAATGAAATGTTGTAAGAAATGCTTCTCAAGAAGAAATGACTTCAAATGATGTGGACCTATGTGAACACTCTGGATCAACTGGTTAGTAAACATTTTTGCACTTTTCTTATTTATTGTACCCACATATTGCTGTGCTAATATAAGCAGAGCATATTGGGGTGGATTATTTTGGAGTTTCAATGTACAATTAATTAGTGAATTTATGGGAATATGTTAATTGCACTCTTGCTGCTGCTGCTGTAGGACTGATATTATTGATTGTTCGGCATAAGTAAATACTCTGGTTGAAGATTGTGGAACACTTGTTATGCCATAGTGAAAAAAAAACCACTATTTAATTTGCTTTTGAGAGGGCTGACACGTTGTTAAATATGAGCTTATATTTGGCTTTTTCCTTGTAAATATTTTGAAGTGACATCCACAGCAGACCAAGCCTCTGAATAAGAATTTATGAATGCAAACATTGTTGTCCTAAAGGATGGTCACCTAAAGGATGGTCACATCCCGTATTTATAGCAAACATTACTTGTTTTAGAGCAAAACAGCTCCGCAGAATGTAAGAGTTTCCCATAAACACAATTCCTACGTGCTTTAATCATATCCCAGCTCTATGGACCAGTGTGTGTGTGTGTGTGTGTGTGTGTGTGTGTGTGTGTTTTAAAGAATGGGTCTGGCAAATTTTACAATTAAAGCAAGTGTACTCAATTACAGAAGTTGACTTTTCATTGTTTTTGTTTCAGGGTCCATATAAGAGGTTATAACTATCCGTTTGCAACATCTACAGCTTCATAGTCATCTGCTGGTGCCACCAAAACCAGCAGTGCTGCAACTTAAATACATATTGGACAATAAACTGCATGCTTCAAACAAGATATCTTCATCCAATTGGAACCATGGATGATTTCATAATAGTAGTTGATGAAATGCTCTGTTTGTTAGTGCAACTAACCCTTTTGTGGGTGATCAGAATAAAATCTTTATTGGCACAGGTCAGTAATTATGACCAGGCTTTTATTTCATAAGTCAAAATAGCCATTGCTGAAAAGTTACTGAATATGTGTGTGAGTAGTATGAAAAAACAACAACAAAAAAACAGGATTGGAAACCTGCTAGCTTGTCTTACTGGGTGGAGCAACATAATGATTCAGCAAAAAGCTCTTTAGCTGAAAGCAGATGTTGAATTTATTTTTCAGAATATCTGATGTTAGGAACTCAACTTGGGAGAGACAGGGGTGAAAACTTAAGAGTTTGCAGCAGCCAGAAGCAATTCTGCAAATGTACAGTGCATAAGATCTGCATGATGGAGGAAACATGAAATGCCACAGGTTTTATTTAATGGATCTTTTAGCTTACTGGAAATAAGCCACATTGAATACAGTAGGGCTTCTGAGCAAATATGCATAGGTTCAGGCTGTTGATGAAAGAGAAGAGTGTCTGAGATGAAAAAAACACTGAAATTTCAAAATACTTCTACAGCCAACTTGCTTTGACTTTAATGAAGAGAGCAGGTGGATTTAAACTAATTCTTCCCCAAGATACAGCTGACGTCAGCTGCTCTGACCTGTTGCACAGTTTGTTTATGAACTGGCCTATTCTAATGAACATTTTGAAGAAAACAATTACCACACAGATGGAATTAGCAGCTTTTCATCATTTCCTGAAGGAAAAAAAGGTAGACTGCTTGGAATCTTGAAATCTAATTCATCACACAAAGATTACTGATGCTGTCAAACATTCGGAAAGAAGACCACGATCTTGAAGAAAAATGTGCCAACAGAATTCAGTTGCAGTATAAATCAAGCATTAAATTAACTTAATCTTCCTTGCCTATATTTTAACCCAGAATGCAGGTTAGATGCCTGACTGATGAATAAGACATTGTGACATAAGCTTTCTTCAGTAAACTCGCCTGTAACCTCAGCGCTAGAGGTTGACTATTCAAGGTATACATACCTGTTCCTTAACTTTTTTAAAGAAGGCCACTCACTCCAGTGAACTGGTGAAAGCTTTTGTTAAGCATCTGGAGACACAAGTCCCCCCTCCCCAAGAACTAAACCAGCTTTTCACAGCAAAGCCGCCTCAGCAGGTAGAGAGAGTGCTATTGGCTTCATTTGAAATTCGGCAGTCAAAGATGAAAAATGAACTAGGAAATGAAAAAGCAATTTTTTCTTTGTTCCGGTCTATAAATAAGTTGATGGTTTTTATTTGAAGGACATTGTAAATAGGAAATTATACACTATTTGAGTTTGTATTTTAATAAAAGAATAGTCTTGGTTTTTTATGTTATCTATAAACATTGTAAGCAAAGAGTTAATCTATTAAATAAGCACTGTACCAAAAGCCACTTATTAAAAAGTGTAATATGAAAAGTTTCATATCTACCTATATAGTTTTGAAGCTTCTGTTTAGTTCAATATTGCTTAGTTCATCACAGCCACAGGCTTGTGGTTTACTGTAATTTTAGAATGAAAGGATATTTAGATAGTGGAATTGTCACAATTGTCAGTTTACCTTCATTCACGTACATAGAAAGGTAGTGCAAGAAGTAGTTTTATGCCTGTATTCAACTTTGCATTGTGTATTCAGATGAAATTTCTATCAAACCCAACTCCTAAAACACCAAGACACTACTGTGGCCATGAAGAGTTGGCTTTGACAGTATTTTTTCATCTTGTTTTGCTTTGTTTCTTGACTAGTAACTGTTTCGACTGGTAAATTTCCATCTCCAAAATATCACTGCAGACTGGAGCTGAATCCCCTTAATGTAACAAAATGTATGCACCTTTGGAGGAGTATTTAGTTTCACTCTGATTTTGCTAGTATTTAGTTTGGCTCAATACCCTGTGTAGAACAATATGAATGTAGCCAGACAAAGATGGTCATGGAAACATAGGAAGCCTGGTTTGCTAAACAAAAAACCCTTTTGTCTATGGGGACATCAGTATCCTAGATACAAAATCTTAGATACGGTGTTTGTGTTTAACCCCTTTTAGGTCCTGTGCAATAGCCACTCCGATGTGATTTGAAAGTAGCTGGTTTACCTCCAAGAAAGTTGTAGGGTTTAATAAAGGTTATACACTATAGCTGGAGTATGTCTCACAAGTTCAGTTCAGACTAGAAAGTGAGTCAGTATATTCTGTGTGAATATGCACCACCAAGTTTATTTAAGCAACCAGTTGAGGTGCAGGGACGCTTTCTCTAGGTAGAACTAAGGAAACTTGCTTGAAAGTATTGCTCAGTTGAGAAGGGAAACAGATGTGCACTGCTTCTTGAGGAAAAGCTAAGTGCAGCAGGAGCAAAGTAAAGGCTGTGCTGAAGTAATGTGTTAAGAGCTATCAGAGTAAGAAAGCTAATAGAATTGTAGCATCTAACAACACAATAACAAGCTCTTTTCTCAATATTTCTAGACATTTTTCTTTTTGTGGGTGAGAAAGGGGGGATTCTGAATGTGAACAGTAAGGGGAGGGGTATTGAAGGGTGACATCACTTTAACTGCAACATCTCATGATGACATGCACATGTACAGTTATAGAAATTGCATGTTTTCTAATTTCACCCCAGACCGTGCTCTTCAATGGAGGTGTTCACACAGTTAGCTGTAAGCCAGTGATGTGCATACCACTGGGAGTCAGCCTTAATTTGAACATAAATATTGTGCTACCTGCTGCTTTGGTGATTACTTAGTAGGCTTCCCTTTGTTTTTCACATTGGTAGTAATGGGAAAGGCAGTGGCAATGCACTTGGGCAAGGAGCAGTTAGAACACTAGTTCTTGTGTTGCAATATCGTTGAAAGTCTGAAACTTGGGGGTGGGGGACGACTTTCTGGAAAAGGTAAAATCTTTAAATGAAGGCTTCTATGTACTAAACCACTACCAGACTCTGATGCTTAAGAGATCTAACATATGGTGTTTTCTACCATATTTAACTTATTAAATGTCTGTGTCTGCAGTATACATATACTGCTAATTCCATAGTATTCAAGGCCAGGCCCAGTGAGTGGTAATGATGAATTTAGGTCACTCCTTCTGTATATTTACATTTCAGTGGAGGTTTTTTCTTCTTCCCTTTCAGTAACCTTAATTATAGTACAGACAAGAGGTTGCCTCCTTAATTTCAAAATAGAAACCCAGTGGGCCAATTGCTAAGTTTTGGTCAGCATTATACTATCAATTTAAACTTGTAATTGAAAACTGGAAGACTGTCACCTGAACTAAATAAAGCTTTTTTCTTTTTTCTTTGATACCACTGGGCTTGTGCCTCTGCAGTTTTTCCTCACTGAGTGAAGATGACAAACTACTGTATATATTAAATGCCAGTGTGCCTGGAGCTAGTGGTCTATAGTCTCTAACTGCATAATGTCAAGTCAAGCATGGGTTATTGCAGAACAATGAGTCGTACAAGTGATGTTGACTCTTATCCTGTACCCTCTACTATCCACAGGAGCGTAGAAATATTACTTCAAAGCTTTTACTGTGGAGTAAATGCTTTTCTCCTAATGTTAGTACATATAGATGCTTTTGTTCAGAATAGCTTTTGCCTTAATTATTATTTTTGGTTTCAGATTAGCGCAGAGTTCAAGTTTTGTCTTACGTATAATCAACACATTTAAGGTAATTTCATTAATAAAACAATTTTGAAATGTTTTCGTACACTTAAGTAGATTTTTGTTTTTAATGCGGTTTGTCAAGTCTTGAGTTACTTTAGTTGTGTTAATTTCTGAACAACGGAAAGCACATTCTCAAAAAACAAATGTCATAGCTGTGTAACTGTCTTGGTGATGGTTCCTCCAGCAGATTCTGTCAAACTTAATTCTGAAGAGCGGAGTTAAACCCAGAAGATTAAAATTGTAAATTGAAACCATCTAACTTATTTCTGAGGGAAGACTTCTATCAGTACTGCTAATAATACCTAGGTATCCCATATCCCTTGTATCATACCTGACCTCTAATGCTAAGGCCTATGAACTGGCTGCATATTTTAAAATGCACACCAGCTATATTTGTTATGCAAAGGGTGTTTGTTTTTTAGTCCTTTGAAGTTTAGTAGTTTAATATTGAGGACAGTCAGAATTAAGTGACTAATTTAGACCAACAGACAGTGGGCTTGTGGGTTGCTGCCAACTTTCTGATTAATAGTGATTTCAGGTGTGCAACATGCAAATGTGCAGAAGAGTAGAGAGGGCAAATGATAGAAAACTTAAAAACTTCCAATCTCTATTCAGACTAAAAGTTTTGTAGGTGGTAGTCTTGAAAGCCATGAAACAATTGCCCCCAATCTTCTGACCTAGATTATAAGAATATTTACTTTCTGCAGAGGTGAAAGGAATTCTAGTGTGTCATCAGTCTATCTTGTTGCACAATCCCAACATTACTGAAGGGAATAGAACATATTAAAAGCTAGTTCCAAAGATCTCCACAAACAATCAGGAGATCTTTCCACCCACACATGGCTGTTAACAATTTTTCTATTGGGTTGCAGCTCCCCAAAGAAATATTAGCACAGTAGATCGTCGCCTGAACATAGAAAAGTTTCTCAGAAGCTGTGAGGAGGAGCCCAAGACATACTTATGATTAAAGAAGCTATAAGTTTAAGGAATGAATAGAAAAACTGCCAACACGGAAGAAGTTGGGAATGGGGTAGTTAACTATGGCTTACATTAAGACATCTTAACTTAAAATGGATTTTAGTAATTTTTAAATTGTGAATCTACTGGTAAAATGTGACTGTTTATAAGTTCTGCTAGACTACTACCTGAATAAAAGAGAAGGTTATAGTTGCACACTTTAAAATTAACATGCTGAATTCCAGACTATCTAGGAAATACTGAACTAAAAATTCTTTTAAGAAGTTCTTCCTTCACATAACCTTTGTGGCTGCATACTAAAATGAAGAGTTATTGGAGATTAAACATCATACTGGTTCGTGGATGTTGGCGCAGTGTCCTTAACTTTGAAAATTGCCACTGAATCCACCTGTGTAGTTGTAGTTTGAAAATCTATTTCTGAGTGGTTTCCAATCTTCATATTTTACTCAAGGTCTGTAGTGGAAGTTGGGAGAACAAATTTCCAGCTGTCAGGAAAAAACCTTACCAGCAATTTCCAGTCAGTTGTATTTTACTGGACGGTCCTTTTCTGCACTTGTCCTGATCATGTCCTTGCCTGGTTATACAGACTATTGGGAGTTTCTTTGACAACTGCTTCTCAGCCTATGAAGCAGGATGCTATGGTGGGTCACCAAAGCAGGTAGTTCTGTTTTGCTGATACTGAAGCTGTATAGCAACAGGACACAACATTGCATTCAAAAGCGGAAAAATTCTCTCCCCCAGGAAAGCAGCTGGCATGGGGATGACCGGTTCTCCAAACCCAGGGAGAAAATAATAGCCATAGGAAGTACGTTTCCCATTCAGTCCCAGTAAGGAATGGGGGAGAGAAAATGTAGAGGTTACTGACTGCTAAAATGTAATTCAGGAATAGCTTGAAAGAAGTTGCCTCTGAGTAGAACACAAATCCACATCATTCCAAATAAGAAAAGGCTCACCAAAAAACTTCCAAGGCCTATTTGTGTGCTACTGAATATTTGTCCAGGGATATATATATTTGTTTGAAATGAATGTGAGATAAAGTCCTTCCCGAAACCTTTGTTTTTCAGTAACAGAGTTTGCTGTGCCTAGACCCTTTGTGAGAAGTCTCTGTCCCCCCCCCCAACTTCCTCTTGTTTTCCAGAGGAATCTGTTTCTATAATTTATCGTTCTTTTAAAAGCCAGTCTACTGCTGATTGGTCTCATAATTCACCCTGCTTTTGCACTACCACCCCATCCCTTTCTCTGGAAAAGGAAAGGTGGTTTTTCACTTCCCTCATAGAAGCTGTGTTGTCAGTGTTTTGTGTTTTGTGTTTGAGTCCCATCAACTGCTAAAATGTAGGTATTCATTCTCTGGCATACCAGCAGTACAAACAGTGATTATGAAGGGAGCTTGTGAATGAAGGGCAACAGTGTATATAGCTTATTTTTATAAAATGATTGCTGCCTCAATGTCAGTGGAGATAGAAATAGAGATGGAGGAGAAATTGGTTTTAAATGGATTTATACGTGGAAATTGTTTGTTCCAACCTAATTGAGCTTTGCCTGCATCAGATAGTCTCAGGTATTGAACGCCTGCCTATGTCTGAGCCACTTATCCATTAACAGTTATTTTTAAAGCCTAATTATACGCAGAATTATACACACGAAAACGTATATTGTAATTGCAACGCACACAAGTCCTATGTGGTACCATATTTCTGCAGCATAATTTTATTTATTAACACATGTATTCTTATACAGCTATATGCATTGTTGTATATATCTCTGTGTTGGTTACTTTAGGAAACCTTGAGCATGTATGTGTATAATAATGCGTATAATATATGTGAGTTCTTCATATTTTTAGTGGAACTGATAAAGTAACTCATCATCAAGAATAAGCTTAGCATCAGTGTTTTCATAAAATTGCTTCCCTAATCTGATATTATAGTTTGTCTACTCTTGATGGCTTCCTTCATATATTTGGATTAGGTAGATTCCTTATGGAAACTGTACAGGGCATTTAAATAGATGTAAACAAGTTGGATTTAGAATAAATGTGATTTAGTAAACATTACTGGGTTTATACATAGAATTAAGTTTCATAACATCCTAACTTGAACAGCTGCAGTCAAACAAAACTTTGCATCATTTAGCAGTATTGCAACGTAATTGTAAGGACTATTAAGCCTAACCTAATGCTGCTAAATGTTCATCAGCAGTCTGCAACTTCCATTCTGTGCTGGTAATCCCAGTAGTGTTTTACAATTTGAGAAACCACAAAGCTACATTAGATGAGAAATCACTATTAAATAAAACTCTTAAATGGGTTCCTTGTGGCCAGACTAACATTTCTTTATTTGAAACGTTTGTCGAGTACTTTGATGCGACATACCTTCCCTTTCATTCAGAAAAGAGATCTCTCTGACTCAGCTCATTGGCAAGGACCAGACTGTACATTCCTTCTGAAAGAATGGATGCTGCTGGAAATTGCTGGATAAATGTGTATATGAATGGTAGAAAAGCAAAAGCATTGTTCACTTTTGTTTTGCTATGGGCACACACCATGGCTTGATTTTACAGTAATCTGTACTGGTTATGTTTTATTGCAGAAGTTGGCTGTTTAAGCAAGTCTCTCAATCCTGGTTGCAGGTGGCAACCATCCTTTGAGTCTCTTTCTTAGACCCACATTTTGGATTATTTGTAGTGGTGCACAGCAAAATCTATATAGCCGCAGTTTCAAACACAGATAAAACAATTATCTCAAGTGACAATGTTTTTCTTATGTAGAGAGCAAGTACTTGTAAGTTTCCAGCTTTTGTACGCACTTCCCTGGGAGGAAGCCCTATTGAACTCAGTGGGACTTGCTTTTGTGTTGACATGCATAGGACTGCATCATAAGCCGTGTACCGGCTGCTCTTAATTCTACAGTCTGTTCCCTTGCACATTCATGAATCAGGGCTGCAAGCTTCGTTCAATGGATAGGCAGCAACTTGAATCAGTTGGACTTGAGTTAAGAATATGCTCGTTATTTCAAGGGCCAATTTTTGTTAATGTAGAGTATGAGAGAAGGCCACTTCTAGTGGCCTTTCTAACAGACCAGTTTCCGGTATCCTAAACATGCAAATCTATTTAAATATAATTGGCTAAAAGAAAAGTGTTAATGAGCTAAGCAGCCCTAGCATGAATGTATCAAGAAATATCATACTTCACTAATGGTGGTTGGATTATGAATAGCGATGATGCGTTGCTAAGACTGGCGGCCAATAGTAGCATCGCCTTAAGGAAAATGTGAATTATTGCATGCCTTTCTCTTGGTGTACAAGTAGGACTCTTTTTACATGGGGCAAGGCTGCTATCAAACAAACTCAATCAAGCACGGATTTAAGTCTGTAATTTTGAATTGAGTAGCATTTTCCTTTGAAGGCCATAATGTTTGTTTAAAGCCTCCCACTCAAGTGGCTGTTTTTTATTTCCAAATATCAAAGTGTTCTGTTTGCTTTCCAGGTTTTTGAGCATGAAGAAGAGAACAGATGAAGCAGAGCAGAATGGAGCAGGATCTATCACTCCCCAAATCCTAGGAATTTTAGTTCATAAACACACTTGCCGGTGGTTGTGGGCAACCATCTACTTGATGTAAAGAACTTAATTTCAGTATAAACTGGCTCTGGGCAGCGCCGTTGATGCTGCAGCTTTGAGTTGTAGCAGCTGTAATTGTGAATATTTCTGAGATAGTGAAACATGGTGTCCAGTTTTCTATTGCATTTTTTCAAGTGGAAAAGTTTAACTGAATGGTTGACACACAAGTGGTGGAAAGAATTGTGCATATGCCAATTTTTGTAACCTTTTTACTTTGAACTACACTGCTTATGAGATCTCATTGTTTTGGAAGAATGGCATGAACAAGTCTTCAGGAACAGTTGTGGTAAATTGTAAATGCTCACAATTGTGCACTCTTTCTGGGTATTCCTCCCTGGTTTTGAAAGCTGTACACTTAAAACATTCTTAAAATTGCTGGTGTCTTGAGTGACATAAGCCAGCTGACAATGGTAGTAACCAAAGATTCCAGTTTTTAAGCATATGAAAGACTCTGCCTGCTTACCTGTGCTAGAAGTAACAGCATCTAAAGTGAAGACTTAAGAGAAACTTAGCGACTACTAGATTATCTTTAGGACTCTGCATTAACTCTATAATGTTCTTGGTATAAAAGGAGAAACAGCATATTTGTCACAAATTTAGTTAACATCTTACAACTGAAACTTGTATGTAAGTTGTTTAGATAAATGTAATCACTGTAAACATCTATATGAACGAATTTTGTTTTTATTTTGGAAACGGGAGCTTTTTTGTTTACAAGTTCATTAAAAACTAAACTGTTTCTGTAAGGAAATGAGGTTTTTTTTTAATTTGCCTTGATAATTTGCAATCTAAATTAGACACCACCCTTTTTTAAAATGGGCAACTACAAAGCCATTTGTTAAAGCAAAAGTCCTATTTCTTAATCATTTTAGATCTAGTGTTGTAACTCTTCCTCACTTTTGTTTTTCAATAAATTTTGTATTTTTTTTCTGGATGGGGAGGGGCGCTCTTGCATTTTTATAATCTGTTGCATCGATACCCAGCCCACTGTAACAAGAGACTGGATAAAAATAAAGGCATCTTTTCAGACCCATCACAGCAGCTCACAAGCCTTGCCATTGTCTTGCATTGGCTGGACTAATTTGCAAAAGTAGCTTTGAAGATTTTAAATGGAAGTGTGTGGAGGATTTTAAAAGAAGGAATTTTCTTTTCAAGTTCTTGTGAAGTGGATATGACCAGATTTACTCTTGTTCTCAGGCAGCATCTCGGTGTGCGGTGTTCACATGGGTTACTGCCTTAGGCTATCCTCACTCTAATCCAGCTAAAAGATACTCTTACTGCTGGTGATTCGTCTAACAGTGTAACTTATTCCTTTATAGCATGTCAGAATAAATTTTAAAAGTTGTCTGAAAATTCTGCCAGATGCCTATTGTGTACATGGTTTTTATGACTTTCGGACCTGTAACGTGTTTGGGTTGCAGTGCATATTATGCGGGACACTGAAGCTCTTGAACAGTTGTTTTTCCACAAATTGAATTTTCAGGTATTTTATGGTCATGTGAACAAGAACATTTTCAAGATGCATAGTCTACTTTTAAGAACAATTTGTGGAATGTTATGTACTGGTATGGTACATGCAGGTTAGCTCAGTTAAGTGAGTTGGGCATTTTACCTTCGCTTTAAAAAAATGCAGACTGAACAAAAGCTCCTTAATTGCTCAAGAATTGAGAAATGATTGAAATGGGTTATACTGCAGAGACCATGGGTAATGTATGGCACGTCTAGCTGTTGTGATGCATTTTTCAGTCTCTCTAGGGAATGATAGGAAACTGGTAGAATAGCAGATAAAAGTTCAACTTGAAAATCAGTTGACTTGTTTAGCTACAGCTATCACCTGATTGAAGAAATCTTAGTCTGTTTGCATAACTTTCACTGAATAAATTAGAACAAATTTGTATATAAGTAGCATTAACATCATCATTTTTTAAGTTTACATTCAGCCTTCAATCTGAAGATTTGCAAAGAGGTGCATAGCAATATATTAAAATTCACAAACCAGTACAGGAACCATAGAACAGATATCAAAACAAAATATCAAGAAATAGAAATTCTGACAATCAAGCAGTAATCCAAATCCACAAGTCAGGACAAATAAATGTCGTACATAATGCCTAATCTAGGGGACAGTGCCATATCTCTGGTGAGGCAGTTCACACCTGGAGTGCCACAACAGAAGACCTTGCAGGGCCTCTCCTGCAGATCCTTCCAGCCATCCTGTACTTTAATAGTACTTGTGCCCTAAACCAAAATCAGCACCTTAAATTGGGCTGGTAGCAAACAGACAGACCATGCTGGTCCTTAAGGAATCACTGCTACAGGATCCTGCTTCGCTGCAGTTTCTGGACTATTTTCAAGGGCAGCACCACACAGAGAACACCACAGTACTCTATTTGAGAGGATGCATGTAGTACTACTGTTGTTAAAAAGAACAGTATCTAGGCATAGGTGTTCCTTGGCACTTGCACCACCTGGGCCTCAAGGTAATATTGACCCCAAGACCCATCTCTAAGCAAGGATTGCAACTCCATCCAGAACAGGCAATCTTCCTCACTTCCCAAATAGTCTTTCTAGGGTTTAGCTTCCGTTTATTGGCCTTCATCCAGCCCATTGCCTCCAGGCATCTGTCCAGCACCTGAATCAGCCTCTTCTGATTCAGATGGAGGATGAGGTTGTGTGTCATTGGCCTGCTAATGCCATTTTACTTCCAAATTTCCAGATAACAGCTTCCAAGAGATAGTAAAGAGCATGGGGACAGACTTGTGCCCTGCCAGATTCCACAGCATAACTGCCAGGGGACAGAGCACGAGTCTCCCAGTGCTACTCTCGAATATTAGTTCTGCAGTTAAGATGCACTATAATATGGTGCCTCTGACTCGCAACCCACAGAGCTGATTCAGGAGCATACTATGGTTAATGGTATCAAATAGCCATGGAGAATAAGAGAACCAGGAGGATTGCCCCTTTTCTGATAAAGGTCATGTGAGATGACCAAGGCCATTTCAGAGCTGTAATAATTTCTAAAGCCAGACTGAAATGGGACAGAAGCTGGCAAGTCAGCACCCTCTCAATCACTTGCCCTGAAAAGACATTTGTGGCTAGGTAATAATAATTTTAATATTTGTATCCTGACCGAGGCTGGGCTCAGAGCAGATGACATCATAAAAAACAAGCACAAAAACAGACATCAATTAATTAAAATACATCTTAAAATATTAATAAATTTTTATTTGATAATAAATTTTTATTTGCAGTTACCCAATACCTCCAGCTCCAAGGAGGATCTCTTGAGAAGAGGCCTCACCACTGCCTTTTTGAGGACTGAGTATGGCCTTCCTAAGTGAATCATTAACTGCTTCCTGGACCTCAATAAGGCCCTCCCTGCTAGCTTTTATTTGCTATGTTGGACAAGGGTAGAGGTGGTAGGCTTGGACACGTATCAGCACCTTGCCCTTGGGCCACAACAACTGAAACAGACCCTAAAATCCCTGCGAGCATCTGCCAGACTAGCTTTCTACCAGAGCAGTCCTTTTTCTAAAGGAACAACTTTTTAAAAAGATGCCTCTTCTAAAATTGTTCAAACAGGCACCCCTCGTAATCATAATCTTTGTGTCAAAAGGATGAATGCATCTTTTAAGATTGCGCCTATTGTCAACACTGTGAGAAAAAGTTTACATAAAATGGGCAATTAATTGTGGGCATCCTTTAGGTCAGTTGGCTAAATGTTGCAACCCTGCTTTGAACCACGAATTCTGAACAATGAAGTGTGCAGATAAAACTGTTCACTAAGCTAATGCTGGTGCCTTAATTGCTATCTAATAAAGGCCAAGAAGTGCAGAATGTTGAATTAAACTTTCAAAATCTAGGCTATGAATTTTTAACGGGTTGTGTTGCCACATTGTTACAGGAATCTACCGGTAACAAGAAATTATTTAGCAACATGGCAGGTCTTTTCAGGCTCCCCCTCCTCCATTTACTTATTTATTTTTAAACAACTGCAACAAACATATAAAGGTCTTTTCAAGCTACCTTTTAACACAGATGGAGCAGCAAGACTAGAGGTTCCCCAAGCACTTGCCTTACAATAAAATATTAAAAGTGTGCTAGAAGCTGCTCTTGATACATACTAAGAAAATAATTCCTTAACAATTCACATCAAGACCATATAGTTAACAATCACCTTTTCTTTACAGCCTTTGTATCCGCAGTGGTCTGAATTGCAGTTTGGTGGTCGTGTTGGAACTGGGCTTTTCTTAGCATTGATAATGAGATTCTGTTGGAGTCTTCAGGAATTTTGAGTTGAGTTCAACTTTTCTTTCAAATGTTTCTGGGCTACTAAGTGAATAGAGATTGCTGAAAACCCGTCAACTAACTTTATTCTAGGATTGGTTCCACTGCTGGGTATTAAACTAGCTTTGTACTGAAGTAGTATTGTTCAGAGGTTCTATACTCTCCATGTCATCCTGTTTTTAAGTAAACACTGTTTAAAACTTTCCTAAATGTGTATGTTGCATATGTTCTGAAGTGACACGGAGCTCTTGCAGCAAGAAGTTTTCACATGCCTGTCTTGGAGGAAATCATCTGAAAGCGAAAGTTCGTTGCTCTGGTTGTGCAGATGCCTCCATAAGCACTCAAGGCCAAGTCTTCCATTTTTTGTGTGTGCGTCCTCTTCTTAATTTGCCATTAATTCTCTTCATTTTATACTGCTGTGCAGGAGTTATTTTTTCTATTTGTTTAATGGGTCTACTCTTGTAACCTATGTCTGCGTTTGAGCAGATTCATCAGCCCTTTAGGATTTTTTTTTTCAGATTAAAAAAATACTAAATAGAGGAGAATCTTTGCAAGAATTTACAAGTGCCTCAGAATGGGGCACGACATGTTAAAGTAGTTGAAGTTCAATTTGAATTCTTGATTGCCCTGAGATGCACTGTTCTGCCAGTAAAAGGGCAAGAGCAGAGTGTTAGAATTCTAGACTTGGTTAATCAAACCTTTTGGAAATATAGAAATCTTTTTATTTTTCCCGATATACATTAACAAGCTCTCTTTTCTGAATTAAATCATCCTTTAAAAATATGCTGCTCTTTAAATAAAACAACAACAACACCTTGACATCCTAGGAGTTTTGTTTCTGTTTGTGGTCCGTAGTGGTATTTTAAATGGGGAGCTTCAACCCCTATCCTATTCTGCTGAGTCTGGATTCCACTATTCAGTTATCTTGGATTTTAACTGCTTAGAAGCAGCTCTTACTTCTGGTGAGTGAAATTTGCACAGCTGTGGAGGTAAGCTCCATTAAGAGAAGTATCTGCTGTCTTAATTTGCAGAACATGAGCTGAGAAATATATGTTGAACCATTTCTAATGAACTTCAAAGCTAGTTTTGGCCTTTATCAGAAAATATGGGGATATTCTTAATTATTTTTCACCCCCAAGGAAGGGCATTCAAAATATGTTAGAAATAGCCATCTTCAGGTGTTAACTTCATAGAGGAGCCTGAGAGATCATAAGCCAGCTCAACCTTGATGTCGTGTGATCAGAGTGGCCATCCATAGGTTGGAAATCCTATGTGCAATGAAGGTGGTCCCCTTCAGATTCAGCCTATTGGTCTTCAGCTTAACTGTGTAGCTCACTTGTGTGGCATCATTGGAGTAGAGGTAGCCCTGCATTTTCCCACAAGCCCCTGGAAGTGGGTGTCTGAAGACAGGTAAGATGAAGTTCCCACTGAAGGAGCAACAATTTCATTGTGCTTCCAGTGTGGGAAAAACAATCCAAGCTTTTAAAAAGGCTGGTATGCATTGTTGCTGTGTAAAATTACCACCGGTACATAAGCTTTAGTCCAAGCAATGGCCTAAACCGAATTGATGTAAAAATTATAGGTCTTTAAAAAAATGTCCTTAATGAACTCGTTTGCTGTGGCTATTGCTAATGTCTAGTTTTTGTTTTTTGGAATGATTTTGGTCTGTCTCTATTAAGGAGATGTCTCAGAGTTACATGGGACGACTGCTCTGTTATTTTTAAGGGTTACATGTAGAAGGTTGAAGTGTAGCACCTAAGAGAAAACAAAATAAAATAACTATTTGCTTGTGGGGGTGGAGGAATATACACAAATACTCCAGGATAGTATTTCATTAAAATGAGTGCTGTTCTGTTATGAAATACAACCAAGAGCTAGCGATGTGATGCAATATGTAGAAGTCCTTTTTAAAAACTTCAGTATGCAATGTTTTTGCATGCTTTTTGTTCTGTTTTGTTTGCCAGCTAGTAGGAATATCTAGGAGGCTGAAATGGACTTATTCAATTTGCCCATCTGTTCCTTAAACAGCAGAAGCATCATCTTGGAACAGGAAAGGTGTGGGAGACAAGTTCTTGACCAAAGTGAAACAATTTGTTAAAATGTCTGTCTCGAAGCGCTTATTGTGTGCTGGAATTGGATGGTCTTGTTCATATTTTGAAAGGCTTGCTTTAAAATTCATTGTCCTGTTACCTTAATTCTATTTTTCTTAAATGCCAACATCACTGGCATTTAGGGACTCGGTGCAAAGGCAGGGATTTCTTTTGAAGGTGCTTAGAAAGCTTCAGGAAGCTGATAACATTAAAAAATTCATTGTGGAAGTGCTGGAAGTTCACTTTGCTTGCCACTTAATGCAAAGTGCCAATCTGGTTTTCATTTAAGGCCTACAAACTTATAAATTATTGATCATAAATTCTAATTCCTAAAAGCCCGTTTTCAGTTTTCATTTTTTCTTTTTAAAGAAAAGAGCACTTCCCTTCACACACAGTATACGTGGTGGTTGGGCTAGGCAGTAGCAGTGAAGTCTTAAAACGCATGACTACAATTTACAAGTGTTAGAGCACGTGGGATATAGCATTATACAGTTAGTTAAGCTATATCGAGGGATACTGAGCTCTAGGAGGATGAACTGGAAGCCCTACCTAGATCGCAAAGTGGCTAATAATGGCTGATTCACATGTTTCCTGGATTGTACCACTTCAAAATGTGAGGTGGATATGGATTGTATGACTTTCATATGGGAAGAAATTTTAAACTCAGTCAAACCAGTAGTTAGTCTAGCTCAGTATTGTGTACATGAACTGGCAACAGTTTTTCAGGGTTTGCTAGCCTTACCTGGAGATGCCAGCAATTGAACCTCGGTTATATGCAGAACATTGACTCTTCCACTGAACTATTGTCCTTTCCTGAAAACTAGAAGGCTAAAACCGCCTCCTAGTGTGCTTTTGATGGGATACCTTGGCCCCGACCATTCACTAATGAGGTCACCCACCTCCAGAAGAGCTATATCAGATGCTTCATAAAAATTGGCTCTTAAGATTTTCTAAAGACATGTCTATTTGACAGAGGGGTACAAGCAACCTTTATTTTTCTGGATACTTCTCTTTTCCATTGCTGATAAAGTGGCTTACAAGATAATTGAAGCAACATTAAAAAGACACACAAAACAGTTCACTCAGCCAAGTAAAAGCACAGCACTTTTCTTTTTTTATGTAGAGTATCAGATCATAACATATGCAACAGTAATATGTAGTAATGAAATGGGCACATCTTAACAGCTCTGTGAAAGGCTGCCAGCAATTGGGTTGAGGTGAGAAGGCAATCTGTGGTTTGGCCACCGCCGCAGAAAAGGTAGGTCTCTTGTACTTATTGCCAAACATTTGGTGGTGGAACAGAGCATAACTGCTAATGGATTTCGAAACATGGGAAGATCCATATGGAAGAAAACTGTCTACATGATATTATGGTCTCAAATCATTTAAGGCAGAACATGCCAAGAGTGGCATGTGGAGCATCAGTCTGACCTGTGGCCATCTCGGCTCTGCACAGAGCAGTAAGGTTTAACCCCTGCCAAAATAACCCCTGTTTGTGTGAATGGGTCCATTTTTCTTACCCTATTGCGTGGAACAGGGTTAATGCTGTGTCGCTGGCTGCAATGTAAATCCTCTAACGTGGCAAGTTCCCATCTGCACTGGGCAGTTGGCAGGAAAGTAAGGGGGAAAAGGGAACTGTAAGTCCAGGGGAAAGGGGTAATGGGCCTGCTTTTAGCATTGACGCTGCCTATTGCTGGCTCCAGCTTCACCCACTATTGGCCTGAGAGAATGCCAGCCTTGTCACACAATATGTTCCGCATTCCTTGTTTAGGGTTTAATTTTCACTGGAAATTCTGTACTTCTACCCTGAAAAATTCTGATTTAATGTTTTTATTTTACAAACTGGTCAGTGGATCTACTAATGGTTTGTTTGGATGGTTTGTGGAAAGGCAACAGTAAAACAGTAAATTTTATAAGACAGGCTAACAAGGCTCTGGCTTAAGCCTTTGATTTCATGGCACAATGCTGGTGCACTTATCAATTTTCCTGTTTAAAATTCCTCAGTGGCGTGGCCAATTCTCTTCACAGGACCGGGTTTTGATGACACTGCTGGAGCTGAAGGAAAATGTTATTAAAATATGAGATATATGTGCTTTGATATGTAGAACAAAAATAACTTTTTTAAGCGGTCCACTGAGATCCCTCACCATTTTCAGTTGGTTTGTGAGGGAATAAAATTTTGAGAACCTCTGCATTAGGTGATAGCTGTAAGCAGGTGCCAACAACTTTTTATTGAGATATATTATTTCAGTGAGGAACCTTTCCCACCTGGGCCGCCCGATTCCACAGAAATGTTTTATTCAGTGTCTTCATGCATTGTTCCAAAATTTGCATGCATCAATGCACAGTATGTTTGCAGGATACACTTCTGTGCGAATCCACCCTGAGAATTATCCCAATCAATTCGTCTTCCTTGGGAATGCTGGGAATTGTACCTCAGCAACTCTCAGCACCCTTAAGAAACTACAGCTCCCAAGATTATGTGCGGGGGAAGCTTTGACTGCATAGTGCTGGTGGAGCTGTTTGTACTAAAGCCACAGGCCAGGCTGGTTTGTGGCGGGGAGTGGTCATCTAAGCTATTAACCTAGATTGTATTTCAAAGTAAGTCTTTGGCTGCCAGTAAGTAGCATTGGTGGTGCTCTTCCATTGATTGATTGATTGATTGGACAGTGGGTTCGATTCCAGAACTGAAATAGCTGGCTCCTATATATTCCTGCCGTTTCATCCTTCAAGAGGGGAAAGGGGTTCAGCAACCGGGCAACTTGTAAAAATGGAGCACGCTATCCTTGTGGTTGCTGGGAAACTGGTCAACATAGCAAGGAATAACTCTTAGGGGCAGGGAGATTGTGTTGCACTCTCCCTGCAGTTGGTGCCCAGCTGTTTCACCATCATATATTCCTTCTTAATTGCTTTGGGAAGCTGAGGAAGGGAGGGAAGAGGTCACTGGACCTGGCTCTTCCCACCATCAGTGTCTGGGTGTTTGTTTTACGCTCAACCACAATCCTTGTCTGCATTCAGCAAGGGCACAGGAGGTTCGTCTGTTAAGCAACATGGAAGCAGGCAGATTGCAGAGATGCATAAAAAAGAACAAATCAGACCTTACTGTCGTTGCTGGCATTATTTGAAATTCCACCGACACTTTTCTGAGCCTTTTCTCTGAAGTGCCGCTCTCCCTTAAGTGTATGTTGCCTTACGGGGGTTTTTTGGAATGAAGAGGGGTGCGGTTTGATTCCAAAGACTTGTTAAGGGAACGATGCTGGGAGGGTGTGTGTGTGTCAGAAAGAGAATACCAGTGGAGTTCCTGTTTCTCCTGCCCTCATCCCTTTGGGCCTAGTTGGTTGGTCTGTCTCTCATGTTGGACTGGAGTCTGGAGGCTTTTTTTTCTTCTGTTAGAAACTGGCAGCCATCCTCTTGGCACCAGCTTATGGAACAGGAGTGAGGAAACGAAGACTTGCCTTGTTTTTGCTGCAATTTAGGGAGTGATTTTGCACAGCTTGTTTTTAGATTTATAAATGACACCCGCCAGCTGGTGAGGACCCTTTTTCCCAGCAAAGAATGCAAAGCACTTGGAAAGGGCAATGGAGGGTTATCGGGAAGAAACCTTCCGACCTTCACCAGCTCCTTCCAAGAAGGAACTGTCCCTAGACTAAGATTCATGATGCCAACTGTTGCCAGTTAGAGGTGGTGGAAGCAATCTCTGTTCTCACAGCAGAACTGAGTCAGCAGTTTT